AAGATCGGTTAAATCCACCAGGCTTTTAATATGAATGATCAAAATCATCTGAAAAACTAAATAAAACTGATTAAACGACCGAGTCAAAAAGTATTAAAGAAGACACACTGGTCATAACAAGGATGAATATTGGGCAATTAAAGGAAGAAACATGTCAAATAAGAGGGAAGACTAGAAACAGCAACAGTAAGAACATAATAAAAACACAATCTGAAGCACAAACCACATGCAGCATTGATTAAACAAAGGATATCCATATATGGAGAAGATCAAAATTGAAGCGTACAAACCGTTAGAGCCAGTTTATAGAAAATCTGAGCCACTCTGGCAAAGTCTGAGGTGTTCAAATTTGCACTTCCACCTATGAAAAACAAGCTTAACACCAAAGAGAAAATAAAAATTATTTTTTTTCCTGTAACCTTATAAGCCTTAAGCTTATACAGCTACAAGCTGAAACTTTCCTGCATGATTATTAATATATAGACTTGGACTCACCCATTTATCTTCTTAAAGATGCTTTCATACTCTTCATTGGAAAGAGTCAATCTGTAAAAAAAAAAAAAAAAAAAAAAAAAAAGTACTATCAGGAGTGATTTAATGTTTATAATTGTAATAAAAGACCCATTACAAAGAGGTTACAAAGTTGATCCTTTTTCATCTTGTGTAAAGCCAACACAGCAGTTTTCCAGGCCTGGATGGCTCATTGATGGAAACTTTCATTTTGCTTTCTAGTATCAAATATCATAGATGAACATTCAGACTTTAAGCTCACGCACACTATGGTTATTTAGAAGGAATGAAGAAAAGCAGGCCGTCCTCTGTTTGCTACAGATATAAAAGCCACATGATTTGGAGCAGCCTAGTCTAAAGTCTGAAACAAGGTCCTATTAGTGCTGCGGTTTGCCTTTTAACAGGTCATTCATTCTCAAAAAAGCCCTCAGTTGCAGCTGAAGCAAACAATTGTGCTGAGAGGAGTGGAGAGAACTGCTTAAAGTGTCATGAAAAACAGAATCAAATATTTGAGTATTTCTTCACTAATTTATCCATGCATTTTGGCTTTTTTTTATTATTGCAAGGGGCTCTTACGCATCTTCAGTAACCATTAGTGGTAGGACAGTAAACCTTGCACATGTTGCCAGTGCAGCTCAGAGTTAAACAATCTTAAGGGGAATCATCTTGGTGTAAAAAATATTATCTCTCCAAGTCTTGTTTTTATCTTAAAAATAAAAAAAGAAACAAAAAAAGAAAACAAAAGCACCATAACCTTCAACCCACCTGATTGGCATCACCCTGCTTCCCCCAGACTCAATGTAGTTAACATAGGAGTCAGGTATGTATGTCTTCCCAAAGGGTTTCATGACATCATCTGACACTATTTGAGTTAAAACACCTGTGTGGCAAAAAAAAACAAACACAAAAACGATCAACCATTACAGCAGCAGAGTGATTTCTGATTGATTTCATGCAAAAGTCCCAAAGAGAGTTTCTTACCGATCACTGGTCTGTCGTTTAAAGCCTGCTGGAAGACTTTAGCAGGCATGGCCTCATAGCAACAGATAAAGCAAGCAAAAAACAAGCAGAGGTATAATGGAAATTCTCCACCAGCCATATTCCTTTGTGAGATTTCAGCAAAATGAGTCCTAGAATGCTGCCAGCGGATCTAGTCTGTAAAAAGTGACTACAGACCTATATACATTTCTGTTGAGGAAGATATAGTCAGGAAGAGGAAGTGAGGAATCTCCAGATTTGCATGTGATGACTGTTTTACTGCACACACTGGTTGGGCTTGTTCAATGCTGAGGTAAACACAAAATCTCCTGCTGCATGGGGTGGAGTTTCTGGAAAAAGTTTTATCCATTGATGTTCGGTAAGTGGTTGAGCTTGATGTGTCTTACATGAGTGTTGAAATAAGAGCTTGTGCTTCAGAGCTTGTGTATGCACCATGGAAGGCAACTGTATGTTCACAAGTCTCAGTGAGATTCAGTAACGTGGTGTCAGAAAAAAAATGTGCATGTGAAAATGAAAGCAGGGGGTTGACAGCTGAGTCTTTGGACAGACTCTGTTCATGTGATTACCCTAATAGTCTGTAAAACGCCAAACTTTTTACCAATACAGTTGCTCAAACATTTTGGGAAATCTGTGACTTTATTGAAAGTATCTCAACTTATTATAATTACCAAACATGCAAATATAATTTCCTCAACGATGTGTTCTTGTTCTAAAAAAAAAAGGTATCTGTTCATTGGCTGTAGAGGAAGATTTTTGAAGTTAAGGTTGAAGTTAAGCAAGCTAAAATCTGAGTCAGCCGGACTTTCACTCTGTTTTTCTGAAAATTATTTGACATCTATCCAGGAGTCTTGGTCAGTTCTGTCGACTCACACTAGAGCAATCTGTAGTCTCCTGGGTTGATGTAGTCTGTTGTTTTGTATGGGTTTTGTGTTTGTTAATTTGGATTGTGGGGAGTGTGCTTGTGAAAACTCTTCAGAACGTCTTCCTGACATGTTTGTGTTCTCTTTGTTTCTCCAATGCAATTAAGGGATTATTGTCAGCTCAGGGTTCTGACAGAAAGTTTATGAGTGCCAATTTAAAAAAAAAATTCACATGCACAACCCTGTACCTGCTCCTAAGAGGGAACATCTATCAAAACATGTGTCAGAGTGTACACAAGCCCATTTCTCCTCGTGCACGCTCGGTTTAAAAGTTGCTGATTGCATCGCTCATACAAGCTTACTTTCCAAAAGAAGATTTGTAATTTTTCCACTATATCAGACTCACCACCGGTAACTGAAAATGGAGACTAGAACATAGGACTGCCTTACGTAAACGTGTCACCAGAATAATTGACAATGGTGAGGACCACTTATTTTGATGATCCACCAAGAAAAAAAAAATCCTTGTTTAAGATTCCCCTTGTCCTCAATGTGCACAGCGCGGTTTCAGCTTTCAAACATTGAAAACTTGGTCCTGGAACTCATTCTGAAGAGGTTATACGGCTACACTCGGGATTCAAATTGCCAAACACAAAACCTGTACAAAAAAACACATTGCAACTTGCTTAGGAGGAAGGGCCTCCAGGTGCTTAAAATCATCAGCGCTCCAAATACAGATTGTTCTAGTGTAAGCCAACAGAACTAACAAAGACTTCTGGATAGGTGCTGAAATGTTTTAAGAAAAAAAGAGCAAAAGTCTGGTGGCCTCAGATTTAAGCTTGTTTTGTGGTTGTCATGACCTGGATGACTGAAAATAGCACAGGCATGTCTGACATTGTTCTAGTTGCTGTATAAATAGTGTTTTAAGATCGCTCTGAATAAATTAAATACATTTAATTGAATGTTATATTATTATATTATGAGTCTATAGTTTTCCCACATTATTGCTCATATTTCACTCCAGTGTTCACCTGATATACTGGTACTCTAAGACCACCGCTCTTCCTTTTACTAATCGACCTAATTGGAAGTCGATTATTAAGAGGAAGGCACCAGTCTTCCCCTTAACAGGTCCTTTTGTCATCATCACTGTTTCTGTAACACATTGTCAATTTTAACTGTCATCCATTTTTGTTTCTTTCCTCTGGACCATATGTTCTTTGCAACTATAGCTCATACTTTCACACATAGACTGTAAAAACACATTCAGATAAAAAAATAAAAATCAGAGAACAGATAATCTGTTATAAATTGTTAATTATTAGCAGCATATTGATTTATGAAATCTTTTATTAGCTAGTTCCTTAGCATTTTACAAACTGTGTTTGTGAAAGAATTCCACTGCCAAAGTTTCACAATTCAGTAAATAGTGATCTGGTATAAATAGTAACACATGATTAAAAATAAATGTCTCAATTTAAGTCTTGCTGTTTGGAGTTAAACTAGGCTGAATCTTTCCTCTTTTATGAAAGTGTAAAATCTTAAAATTTTCCATAAAAACATTGTGAATTTATAAAAAAGTATCTCGGTCCATTCCTGCTGCTGTCTGGATTTTTGGTCGTTTCCTCCTTCTGTGGTTGATTAGCATATTTTGCACTGAAACAAATTACCGTAATTTGTCTAACCCTTCTGCTTCCTTAACAGTATGACAATTTATATTTTTTGCTGATTATGCTTTTATTTGTTTGAGCAGAAGATGAAACCTTGAGGTGTCTGAAAAGTGTATCCCAAAAAGTTAAATAGGCAAATCAGTTGCTTACACAGCTGTGAAAATCTTAATTTGGGATCTTCTCAATATTTTCTAAAGACCAGAAATCATGGAATATGTAGTAATAAATGTAGTCAAATAGTTTAAGTTCCAAATAAGTAAAAAACAAGTCTCCCTTTTATCATTCTTGCATTTAATAAATAGAAATACGTTTTCATAAACATCACTTTGTGTCTGCTACTGTCTTTATGAAATTCCAGTCAGCCTCAATAGAAGGCTGACTGTTCTGATGGAGGCTTCTTCCTGGTAAAATTTATTTTTTTCCTCTTTGCAGTCGCTGTGTGCATACTCATTGTGAGTAATCACAATCAGCAATCAGCTGAGTTTCCTACATTGAAAATATTTAACCAATATTTCTGTATCATTTTATTGAATCATCTCTGGAAAGTGCTATGAGATTATGTGTTGTGAATTGGTGTTATATAAATAAATGTAATTGACTTGAACACAAATTTAATTTTGTGGCTCAGATCTGAGATTTGCTGCTTCAGAACATTTTAAATGTAAATTCTTACTCTTAAAATAGGAGCCACAGAAGAAATAACCTCTAACATTGGAGCCTTGCATTTTTTTAAGACAATGGGCTTAATTTGCTAAGGAACTAATAATCAAAAAAGATTATAGAGCACCTTCGTGGTCAGAGTATTTTTGTCAAAAGTCTCACTGCTGAATACTAATAACTCCTTCCCCATTTTGATAAATGAAGCATCATGTTAACCGTGCTGATTGTCTATATCTATAATTTTCCTCTTTAGCTACATTTTTTAATAACTTGCTTTAAAATAAAACAAGTGACAAGAAAATTGGAGATATTAGTTAATTTTACAGAAACCAGCATTAAGATTGGAAGGGGTAAAAAATAAGTGAAATTGACCTTAAGTGAAGAATCACAAAAGTATTACGGTTAAAAAAGAATTTCTTGATAATCAAATGTTTTAATTAGCCACTTCTTGCATCAGTAGTAAAAATGTGTGTAAATTGGTCAACATTTTCTTTACTTGGCTTTTTAGTGTCTTAGTAACTTACTAGATATCTAAAATTGCTGTTATATTTACTGTATACAGTTGGTTCTGTTTTCATAAGGGTTCAAGTTATCATAAGTGGGTTTCTATTCAGTCTGTGGGTGATTTATTTTCCCCTTAAATTTGCAGATTTAGTTTCACTCTGAGCAGAACCAAGACCTCTAAAGGAAAACATTTTAAACTGTTTATTTTTCACTGATATAGGTATAGTTTTTAATCTTTTGTAGATCATGTTAATAAAAACAAGTTTCAAATATGATATAATGATGATTTTTTTTAGCATCAAGAAAATAGTGAGAAATTGCACCCACTGATGGTAAAATAGTGAAGTTCAGGCCACAGGAAGTAAGATACACTTAGATCAGTTTGTCCTCATCAACAGCTTTGTTTACTCTTTTGGAGAAAAAAAATAAATACATACAATATATTCTCTTTTAATGCAGTAACATCAATTCCATATCACTTTTTTGTAATAATGTTATCCTAAAATGGAAATGCTTCAGTTCTGAATTATTCTACACGTTGCAGCATAAAGAACACACAGAGACTCCAAATGACAACTATTGCTCAGCAAAGGAATCATTATAAATTATAAGAATATAACCTGTAGGGAAGCAATGGGATAAGGTGCTAAAGGTGAAATCAAAGGAGACTTGACCTCAAAAATCAACACCAACCAAGGCTGCAAAAGACTTGCAAAAACCACCAATTAAAAGCATATTATTTGGTCCTTTTGGTCAGCAGAGCCTCCAGAAACAATTGAAAATGGTCCGTCCACTCAGTTTTGCCCTGAGAAAAAAGCACAAAGTAAAAACATTAGATTTCTTTAATCTAACACAAAAAATCTAAGTCCTCAAATACAAACATCCCTATCAGATTATCTGTTTGGTTTTTTTGCATGCAGAAAATTGTCTTTAAACTCAAAAATCAGTGAAAAAAAAACCTTTGAATTTACAGAAATCAAACCTTTTTTTGTAATAACCGCCTCCCTTCATGTTTTCATGAGAATATTGTGCATTCTTTAAGTCTAAAGGACCTCCTTGCTGTAATCTAAATATGTCAGAAGAAACAGGCTTGTAAAATTAAAAGATTCAGTTCAGCCTCAAACCACCAAGAGTACCAGCAGCTGCAAGTCTAGATTAGATTAGTAAAAATCTAATCTAAACTAAGATATTTTAAAGGAATGTTGCTCATATGGAGTGACCTTACCCTGCAGCCTGTTTCTGGCTTGACAAATGTCTTCATAAACAACACCTAACACCTCTTCCTTTGGTTTCAAACCATCCAGATAAACTGCAAAAACAGGGTAAACATAGAACACAGTTTTACAGTGTAGCAGTTTGAACTTTAACCGAGGCTAAGTATAACCTTATCACAAAAGGCATGGGATACTTAGTATTCACAATGTCTAGCAAATGTTATCTTTACTTTCTTTTACAAAAAAAAAAAAAAACATGATCCAAGTTTTCATCATTTATCACAGTTCTTTAAAGATGACCAGTGTTATTTTGCATAGAGGGATACCAATATCTCCTGCCCACCTTTGGCTGAAAAAAGCTGCTAAACTTTTCACTTCATTACAGGTACAGTGAATCCCCAGGTTTCATAATATTTCCAAACACAATCATGTATTGAAGTGTCATCTTTCACTCTTCTTAACATAATGCAATCTTAAGCTATGATTGGTGAGCTGTCTGAGCAGGAACATAGAGCTGAAACAATTTATCTGATTACTTGAAATAATCGTGAAAAATCTAAAATTGAGATAATCATCAACTAATTTAGTAATCGATTAATGTTTAAATGGAGTATAGAGACTTTAAAACATGCCTTTAGCTGACAGAGCAGCCCACTAAAAGCATTACTTCTATCAAAATTGTAAGAAAAATATTTAAACATTTTGCATTTAAGGAGAAAAAAAAAACTTTCATCTATCAATATGCTCTATCCAGAACTCCTTAAGTGTAAAAGTATTAGTTTTATCTGGTTTAATTTGGGAAAAAAAAAATCTTGTTTAAGGAACATTCTACTGTCCAATTATTAATTGAAAAAAATAATCGACAGATAAATCACTTTGCAAAATAATCGTTAGTTGCAGCCCAGCAGGTACCCCATAATGATCAGCTAATGTCAGCTTGGAAGGCCAGAACAGCAAAAGGCACAATATCTCGCAAGATAAGATCCAGGGACTGCAGCTAGATTTTTCTTAAGTCTAAAAATCAAAAATCATACTGTGCTAATCAATATGTTGTATGTTTTAAGCATGCTTATGCCTAATCAGTATCACACTGCAATCTATAGGACATAGGATTTTGGATGCAATCTAACCAATTTCTGAGGTGATTTCCTCCATCTCTCTGCGGTTTCTGAGGTACATTGGCCACACATATCCATCAAAGTAACCTGGGGGATCTGGAGGAGAATATACCCTGGAACTGACCAAGCAAGACAAAAACAGGGACAGATTACTTACACAGCAGCTCTCATGTGAACATTTCATATAAACTCAGGAGTAAAATGCAGAAGCAAAACAATACAAAAATAAAAATATCAAGAAATAGAAATGAGTACCTTCGTCTCTTCTTACAAGCCTCATAAGGAATTTCCAAAAAATATCTCTTGTCAAACAGCTCATTTAAAGGCCTGAATGGGAAAAAATAAAAAAAATAAAAACTATAATAAGAAATCTATAAGGAGAGTCTTCCTGTTGACGGTAAATAGAGACGCAGGCCGATTTCATTTGAGCAATAACTAGTAGATACATTACAAAACATTCCTTTGTATTAAATTAATGTAAAAAAAAAAACACAACTACTTAAAAAATTATGGAGAGAAAAAAAATTAATTCAGAAGGTTAAACAATCACTCATCTAATTATGTATTTTCTTTAATCCTCCTTAAGTTACCTGTAGTTGAAAATCAGGAAACCCTCCACAATCAAAACATAAACTTCATCATCAACTGATGAATCAATGGGTATCAGACCCCGCTTCTTCAGGAAAGATTGGGGATCTCTTCTCCAGGAGTAAACCTCTATCATCATCTTGTCCATATGAAGAGCATCAAGCGCTTGAATAGAAAACAGCTGGAATTATTTTCTCTTTTAAGCTTAAACACATTTAGGTAAAAAAAAATTTTTATTTATAAGTGGGTGTTGCCGGAAATCACTAAAATGCCTCATATGTTACATCAAGATAAATAACAGATCAAGTGTTTAATTTACTGTCATATTGCTTGAAGCCATTTCTGTCCACTGGTACCAAACGGTCATCCTGAGGAGAATAGATATCTGTGTAAATCCTTATCTGTGGAGCCAGAAGCTGTAAAGACAGAAATATTCAAAGAAAGCATTCAAAGATTACCTTAAAATAGGAATCTTGAGCAATATTGCAGCTGTTGTGTATTTTCTGGTGAAGAAATTTAGCCAGGGTAGATTTTCCTCCATTGGTGATCCTGTGATTAAAAACACATTTGCTTACAATAAAGGTTGAACAAGCAGAATAGTTGTGAGACGGTTTCTATCAGGGTCGAAAAGGGTAAACAAGTCTTATCAACCGTCACTGCCTCATGGTTATCACAAAGTCTGCTGGGCTGCTGTCCTGTTGCTTAGGATAAATGGAAATGTGTACTTTCTTCACCTTTTTTTTTTTTTTTTTCATTGTTTGTTTTTTTTCTGTGGTATGCCAAACATCTAAAGCATTTTTACAGCGTGAAACCCATCAAACTACGTTATCAGACGTACCGTTTTTGCGATGCAGTATTTGCAGAGCAATATTTCACGTAAGTTAAAATATTTACGCAGTAGTTTGTTTTCAACTGGGTCAGAATTTACTTACCCACCAACTCCAACAACTAGAGTCTTCATTTGAGACAGTTTGCTGCAAACTCGACGCAAAGTGGATGACATGTGATTCTAATTATACGAGAAAAAAAACTACCAGGCTCATTGTTTACCTACACAAACACAGTCCTCCACCGTGTGTCATACATTTCCGCTTCAGGACGCTGCTGATTGGTTAAATATGTGACGTCATACATGTCCTGTCCAATCAGTAAATAGAAATATATACAAATCAATTTTGTGCTTGATTCATGACTTACTTAGACTATGGAGGAACAACTCTGCCATATTTAAAAATTAATACAGAAATAAATCAATGATCAATAAATAAATAACAATACAATTAATTGCCCCCTCAAAATACAATAAACTAATAAATGTAGGTAGAAATAAAATTATACAGTGAGACATAAATATATGAATCTCTTTAATTAGCTTCTTTATTTATTCGCCTTTGTAATAATTACCTTATTTATTTATTGTCCATTATAATACATCAAGTAAAAGTGAAAAAAAGTTTGTTACTTCACCTTTAGGAGTCATGATCCTCCACGGACAGAATCGTCATTGGATTGCCAACTTGAAGAAGGTTGATTTTCAATCGAACATCTGGCCAGAGAAAAAACATGTAATATGTAGCCAACATTTTAAAGAAGAATGTTTTCAAGATGTCTTGGATAATAGCGCGTTGTGACAAACACCAGATACAGTAGTGGAACTTGCTCAACAGCCGATTCCACACCGTGACATCACAAACCGGTGGATGGTAGTAGAGTTCTTTGACAAACATGGACGTCTCCAGTAAAGCACATTCAAATGAAATTACTGTTAATGAAAAACACTTATCATTTATTGGACCATATGTAATATTTCATATTTAAAGTACTTTTCCTTTCATTCTAATTTAATTATATATTATGAATTATTGCTGTTGTTGGATAAAAAGGTATGATTCTTCTCTGTTATTACTACTTTTAATAGAAATTAGTATAGTAATAACAGTAGTAACAAAAGTTTACTATTAAATGTTAAAAGTTATAAATGAATAAACTTCTGTAATACTGATTATTTAATCATTAATGTTTAATTTATCCATTTTCTATCTATCTATCTATCTATCTATCTATCTATCTATCTATCTATCTATCTATCTATCTATCTATCTATCTATCTATCTATCTATCTATCTATCTATCTATCTATCTATCTCGCATCTACTATGCGCATGCGCACCATAACTTTTCCGCTTTAGCTAACTTCCTCATTAGCAACGTTAGCTTCATAGTGATCCACAGTCCAGCGTCGTGTCTGCTTAAAGCGACTCGTCGTTTTTTTTACTCTTAATTTCATTTCTCTTCGTGTCTTACTTATGTCTAAGCCTCCTCCCAAACCGGCCAAGCCAGGTAAGACTTTCTCTAAATGGACCTTTTTCTTAACTTTAAACTTTGTATTTGCTGCTGTTTGGTACGTGGACGCCGCACCTTGTGTTGTTGGGTAGTTGTAGCTAATGGGCGACGGTTTCGCTCGGTACAAAATCTCTAAAGCATCGGAATAGAAAAGCTTGCAAACCCTAATTCATTGATTTATGTATTTTTCCTGGTGTCATTCTGTTATAATGTTACATAGAAAGGGGGAAGGAGGCTTTGGTTGGTTCTTCGCTGATTGACAGGAGCACCGAGCCCTTGGGCCACCGTCACTTCCCTATTTCCATGTGAGCTGGCTTTAGCTAGAGAGGATTGGTCTGATAATGCAAAAGACATGATAGGATTCAGTCCATACTGGCTTTTCTTTGGATCACTTTTAAACACATTACACAATAGAAATGGACGCACACTGAGCATCCCAGGAGGACGTGAAAACAAAAAGCACAAATATTGTCCAATTGTTTGGTGCTAAATTATCATATGAATATATGAACAGGAAGAACATTTAAGGCAGATGCTGCTTCATTTTGAATGTGATATAGCAGCACAATATGATAAACCCATGTGTGCGACATTGTGATCACAGGGACTCCTCAGATGTTATATTTTAGCTGCCATGCATTTGTTCTTATTGATGTATTTTAGTGTCAAAATCACCTCATATGTTACATCAAGATAAATAACAGATCAAGTGTTTTTTCCTGGTGTAATTCTGTTATAATGTTACATAGAAAGGGGGAAGGAGGCTTTGGTTGGTTCTTCGCTGATTGGCAGGAGCACCGAGCCTGTCAGTAAGGAAAATGCAGGTTATTGCAGTCAATGAATTGATTTGCCAGGGGCAGAGATAGAGGGGGGGGGGGGGGGGGGGGGGGGCAGGCCACCCTTAGCCAATCATTGTCCACCCCTACCATTTTTTCCCTCTAATACAGATGGTGGCAACAGAAATACTCTCAAGTGGAATATTTAAAACATTTAAATTTTTCATATATTTAATTGACAACAATAACTCTGGTTTATTATGCACATCAATATACTGAAATTAAAGATAAGTGCAGAATTCATGCTCTTTTCAGAACTAGATTTTGTACTTAAGTGGTAAAGACAAAAAAATGTCTCTGCAAGTCATTTAGGGGTCTTCAGTGAAATCAAAAATACTATTTTAATAAAAACTTATTAAATAATCAATTTATGTAGATATTAGTACTTTTTACAATTTTGTGCAAAATGATTATTGATAAAATCAGGTAAGTAATGACGATGGAAAAGATGTTTGCTCCAGAACTCAAACCTGAAAATATTGCATCCAATATAAATTTAGGAAAGTATTGTTTGTCTTTATTTAGAAAATATGGATGTTGTGCTCTTTAATGTTCCTGTTGGAACGGTGTAGCGTGACCCTGAGGTTCTGGCCCCTATCTGCTTTTGGCCACCCCTCAGTGTACATTGGTTATTGGCCACCCTTATAAAAGATTTTCTGGCTAGGCCTCTGACTTATGCGGTTATTGCAGCTTTAGATTTGGTTTCCCAGTACCCAAAAGCAGGTGAAAAGTGTAATCGCTTTCTTTCAGGCATCTGATCATTAGTGTGCAGCAACAGTTGGTGGAGGAGGGGTACAAACTGTAAGCTTTTAAAAACATGATATGTATTAATAGTGTTTAGGCTGTGGATTTAAAAATAACTTTAGAGGACTGGAGTAGATCTGCTGCTCCTCCACATCAGGGAGGAGCCTTAGGACTTAGGACCCATCTGCCTTAGGACCCATGTTAAAAAGGTGTATAGATTCTGAAATGTTACACAGCCGTGTATGCTTTATGTCATGAGAAGAGACAACCTATGGCCAACACCTAAACCAACAAACCACCAGCAACTAATTCTTGATCTATAAAATATCCTTGTTCTAACAATATATAGCCTGCAGAGTTTTTACTATTATGATTAGTTTTCTTTCTATCAGAATAAAATCCTAACAACATTTTATATGATTAAAGATGTAACTTTTTGGGTTTAACAAAATGATGACATCATCATATATTTGCTTAGGTTTGACCTAAATAGTAGTCCTGCTAGAGGTGCCACGTATCAGGGACTGCAGCTATACTTGCTGTTATCATTGACCGATGTGTGGCAAATGGCTCAACATAAGAACACTCTATCTCCTGTGGCCCCTTTGCTTCATGCTGTTTTGTCTGGTTCACATGACAGGTTGATTTCAATGTAAAAGGATGTCTGAGGATTCACTAGTTTTCTGCTGGCTGTGTAAGGAGTCGGTATTTGGTTGCTAATGTTCCTTTTTAGGATTTGGGCTTCTTTTGATTTATTGTTATTTTTTTTGCATACCATGTAAAACATAAATAATCTTTTATAAAGATGAACCCAAATACTAACGTAGATAGATAGATAGATAGATAGATAGAATGACAAAGGCTGTAGTATTTTTCTAACGATCATAGCCACGTGTGTCGTGAATGTTTAGTAAGTTTTAACAAGTCTAGACATGCAGATGTTGCATGGTATTTATAATTTTTTTAATGCAAGTTTGAACAGCTGTTTAGTGCAGCAATGTGGGGAGAGCACCCCCCCACACACACACATTTAGCAATTAAGTAGTTAAATATACTAAATATAAGCTGTTTTTCAGGCTGTAAAAATATCGCAGAAACTTTCCTTTTTCTCCTCTACCTCTGTTTTTGGTGTGTTTTCTGCTTCTTTTCCTTAGATCTGCTAAATGCACAAGGGTTTAAAAGGAAGCCAGAACCTTGCCACATGAGCTCAGGCATTTGTGTGTTTAAAGTAACATGACTGAGCCTGCAGAGCAGCTTGACATGAACAGAACTGGTGTTGTGCAGTGGTACAGGCAGCCCCCACCCTCTCAGAAACAGACTGACTTCTAGATACTCTGAACAGCAACAGGGATTTTTAAACATCTACGCTACAAGAATAACATAATAGACTCAAAACTTTATCATAACACAATAGAGAAATTAATGTTTTCCAGTAAAACTTTAGTATTCATGCTTGTTGGTAAATAAATCATCTTGATGCTCATTACACTACAAATAGTTTGCTTGTAGCTCTCCCTGTAAAGCCGCGGTTCTCAAAGTGTGTGGCGCGACCCACTGGTGGGGAATTGAGACGTGACAGGTGGGGCGCGCCAAGTTCCGGTGTGTGTGTGTGTGTGTGTGTGTGTGTGTGTGTGTGTGTGTGTGTGTGTGACTATAAATGTAGAATGTGTGAGAGCAAACTGTCCTTATAGCTGTATGTTGCCGCTTTTTAGACCAATCAAACCCACAAAGTAATCATTACTAGCCTACATGCAGTCTAATTAAAAGAACATTAGATATGAGAAACATTTCACCTGGAACTGAAGTGCCAAAATAATGATTGACGTGACGTCGGCATATTATTTGTAACGGAATAAACTTTCGCGCCCCAGTGTTGCCAACTCAGCGACTTTGTCGCTATATTTCAGACCCCTCCAGCGACTCTTTTTCAAAAAAACTAATCTAGCGCCTTTTGGAGACTCTTACGTGAAAGCACGTATCGTTCCTTTTCTTGTCCTCCAGCGGCAGGTGCTGCCGTGGGGCGCCTCCTCCGTCCCAACCCCATTCTCCCCCGCTATTGCAGGAGTCCCCATCAGCGCTGCAGTCAGAGCAGAGACACAGCATGTTTAACTTTAGCGTCCAGACTGCAAATAAAGCGCACATGCGCCGGGATTGACGGCGCAGGTTGATCATAAATAACTGAATTTGAAATATTTTATCTTAAATAAATAACGGCGTTTGATTCACACAGCCACATGTTCATGTTTCTGGTTAGGAGTGGAGAGCGAGTATCCACTCATCGGGCAGAGAGCTGTGTGCATTCTTCTTCCCTTTGCCACATCATATCTCTGTGAGATGGGCTTTTCAGCTGCTGCTTCAATGAAAACAAAATACAGATCTCAGCAGAACATTGAGCATGACTTGAGAGTGGCAGTATCAAGCCTGCAACCCCGTTTTGAGAAACTGCAATGCAAAACAGGCTCATTGCAGCCACTAATGCAGGGATAAATAGACCTGTCTTGCCAGATGGATTTCACTTCTTTTCTTTTATTAACAGATTGCAGAGTGGCACTTTAATTTTTTCTATCTTTGAGCTTGATACAAATTTTGACACAGCTGCATTTTTATTTTCTTTATTTTTGAGCTTGCTGTTATTTGATGTAGATTTGTATTTAGATACTACTTGTTACTTCAATAAAATTGGAACATTTTAAGATTGTTGCATATTTCATTAGCATTGTGTTGGGGCGATGGGGACAGGCGGGGCTTGAAAATTCCCCCTTGTCCAAAGTGGGGAATGACAGAAAAAGTTTGAGAACCACTGCTGTAAAGAGTGTGCAGTTATAATTGGCTGTATAAAAGAAGGGCAGAAATTGTGCCGTTTGAATCATATTGTTGACCTTATCAGGGTGTGGCACATTTGCAAAGGAAGTCAACAGAGTGAAGCAGTACAGGGTCATGTCTAACCAAAAGGGAAGATGAAAATCTGTCCTTTGTTTTATTGCAGAGAGTCGTTTTTTTTCTGACTAAAACGGTGACTTCTGTTTTTGTGTAACTCCGTGGTTCGTCTGTTTACTAAATTTTGCATTTATGTTGTCAACATACAAAACTGGACAGTGTATGTAATTTTGTTCCTAAATATGACTGCTTACAAATATCTCTATCAGCTTCTCTGGGGTTCTTGAGATACTTTGGCGAGCAAAAACCACAACCACCCGGGTTGCATTCTTGCAGCACAGCTAACCCCAAGCAGCTGCAGGCCCAGGGGGAAGGCATTGCACAATGACCACTCTGTGTGTCTTTCCTCTTGCACTGCATGTAATAATATTTCAGCATGTTAAAGCTGGCTCACCTGCATAAGTGAACCTGCATTGATTGCATTGTGATTTATTCTACCTCATCTTTGTTTCTTTTGGAGCATGTCTTCTGTTTACTGCTCTGCTGCCAGTATAAACCTACAGTTTGATCGTTGGATATTTTATTAAACAAGCTGCTTTTTTTTTTTTTTTTTTTTTTGCCCAGGCCAAGTCAAGGTGTTCAGAGCGTTGTTCACCTTTGATCCCAGAACAGTAAGTTCTTTTCATTAATTAACGGTCTTTTATTTATTTGCATCTATTTTGTAATCTTTGAGTTATTTATAAAGGTACACATATTTCCACCATCTAATAACTAGAGATGCACCAATCTACATTTTATCTTCTGATCCATTTCAGTACTTGAATTTGGATATCTGGAGATCCGGTTATTTTCCCAACATCAGAGGCCCTTTTCAATAAGCAGGTTTAACAAACTCAGACTCAAATCCTCAAATCTCAATTGTTATAGCATAAGGTTGGAAAATCTTGATTTTTCAGTTTCATAAAAGCTGCTTCGCCTTAGTTTAATCAACTCTAAGTACGTCCACTTGGTAGTTTGAAAAGCCATTAATAGCGAAGCCCAGATTTGATGAGTCACCCTGGCAACAGCCAGCAGAAGATGCCTGTTTAACATGACTTAAACTGCATATTTTAATGCATAAATGGGAAAAAAATGTGGGTATGTGTTTATAAAATGTATTAAATCTTTTTTTTTTTTTTTTATTTAAAGCACCTCCTCTATGTTGGTCCATTGGTAGATCACTAAAATAAGATTCTTCCTGGCCAAAATCACATTTCTAGACAAAAGTTTTCAGCTGTTTTCAGCTTACTGAATATGTATTTATACCATAAATACATTTCTTCCTAATCCCTCTCGGCGCCCCCTCGATGCTCTTAGCTGAGTGTCCCGCTGGGGTCACGGGAATAGATATTCAGGCAAACTAATAAATATAAAAATGGCCTGCCAAAGTCTGTTAAAAACACGATAAAATTACTGGGAAAACTGGTTTATTGCCTAAATGGTATTGTGTGATTGTACAGTAATCTATTTTGGTGCAAACTCATGGGGCAGAAGCGCACCTGTCAGCAGGTGAAGATGAAGGAAGGTTGTGGATGTATGTGATAGACTGTGAGGTGAAAAGGTAGCACTAATAAAGATCATTTCTGAAAATGAAAGGACATATATAAGCTCTAGTATTTAAATCTCTGAATTAACGCATTCTTTATTGGATCCTCGTCGTGTTTGTGTTTTAACACCTAATGGGACTCACTGACTGATGATTTTCTTTTCATTGTTTGCACAAAACTCTCCTCACTAAATCAGGAAATGAAAAAACATGATTGGCTTTAAGGAGGATGCAGACAGAGGACACTAGGTTTATTGAGGAAACCCTGCTCCTGACCAGGTTGGCTGTAGGGAGAATGTTGCTATGGTAACAGAAACAGAGGCTGGAGTAACTGTTTCTAGGAAACGGAAAACTCTGAAGTTTCCCTGATTTCAGGTTTAAAAAAAAAAAAGAAAAGTTTTCAGTTAACTTTGTGAAGTGGCCCTCAGAGCTCGGCTTGCGTTAATGTTATCGTCATTCATGGTTTTTTAAGAGGCAGTGATAAACCCCTCTCTACCCACAAGTACACGTATCAATGTACGCATGCATATTTTAAAGAAGGAAACTTGAGACGAGTATAAGGTCAGAAAAGGAAGTCACTAGCACAGTGAATTATGTTGACAGGACAAAATCCATCCTAAAAATAAAAATATTATGGGTCAAATTGACAAATGCAAGACGGAGGTGAACTTTCCTCCTGTTCAAGAGTTTTTTTTTTATTTTTTTTATTCAATGTCAAATAAAATAATTTTTCTTTTAATCTGGTAATGCCTGAATGAATATATGGTCTTTTTGTCATCAGTCTAATGCAGGATTAGATTGCTATGCTGCTGCATTTAGAATAAGGCCACTTATTGAGTTAGAAGTTAAACTAGCGAGCAGTTTATCAACATTAAAAGAACTAGGTAGGAAACACAAACCCACTGCAACAGCAATTTCAATTCAAATGTTAAACCTACTACAATTTATCCTTTTTGCTGTTTCCTAAATGAAATACCGATTCCCTAATTCAGTTGTCACTTTTGTATAATTGTGTATTAGCACTTCAGCTCTCTGTGTCTGTGACCTGAGGACAGCAGCTCGGTATCATCAAGCAATGCTCAATCACCTTCAATGTCATCAGTCTCTGCAATCAATAAAAAAAAACAGGCCTTTAGCTATAAAAAATATTTTTTTTTTTTTACCTGTAAAAATAAATCATATTTATGTAGAAACAGTTTTAAGGATCTATTGGTGTGAACATCTTAATGAAATCAAGTCAGCATGCTTTAGCTTAAAGTTTTTAACAAACATTCCTTGCTACCTGAAAGTAAGTTGGCATAAGTTAAAAAAAAAAAAAAAAAAAAAAAAGGTTTGTGTCAAAGTTTATTGGGAAGTGAGAGTAATCTCTCTGAAGTTGAAGTAACGAGTGGTATCTGTTTTATTTTCAGCCAGATGAGTTGTACTTTGAAGAAGGAGACATTTTGTACATCTCAGACACGGTAGGTAAAAAGCTCCGATTAAATCTGCTGCCTTTCTTACAAAGTTTCCTGGAAGTCCCTTAAACTTTGACTCTGCAGTTGCTCTTCCTCTTTATTTAAGAAATCCTGCTGTCTTTGCAATTTCCTCTTCTTTTATGATTTTGTCAATCCCATGTCCATCTTCGATCTCTTAATCCAACACACTCCTTCTTTATTTCACAACTCAATTTTTTTTTATTACTGGAATAATTAACTGTCCTCTTTTTTTATCCTGTTATTAAAGTTGAAATACTTTGTTTTTATGTTCATTTCAGAGTGACAGTAACTGGTGGAAGGGGACATGTAGAGGGAGGACAGGACTAATTCCTAGTAACTATGGTGAGTAAATAGAGATCATCAAAAATAACTAACCTAATAAAGTCACATCTGGTGAACAGAGGATGCTCTAACATGAGGTCCTGATTCTCCTGTGTTTCAGTTGCCGAACAAGCAGAATCCATTGATAATCCAATGCATGAAGCAGCCAAACGAGGTACGACTAAGTATTTAAATACATTTTTAAGCCGCCCCAACCTTTTTAAATAGCTTTTTTAACTATATTTTATTTATATATTAGCATACTGTCTGTTTTTTTTTTCTCCTCTCATTTGTGTTTTTTGTGTGTAACTGAAGGCAACATGAGCTGGCTGAGAGAATGTCTGGAGAACAAGGTTGGAATCAACGGGCTGGATAAGGCTGGAAACACTGCCCTCTACTGGGGATGCCACGGAGGACACAAAGGTAGAGGCGAAAATAGTGTCTGAATGGGATGCAGAAAATTAATAGGGCTTGGTCGTCGTGACGTAAGCACTTCGCGTCGCCGCCATGTTGAATGCGTCTTTTACCGCGGCTCAGACTACTGCCTATGACTACCGCGTACTGTTCTCCCTCTCAGCCTTGTTTTAATTTGATTAATTTCACCTTAACTTGATTTCAACCATGGTAAACCGTTGCTGTATTGTGGGCTGTATCAGCTCAACACATGATCACCATGGAAACATAAAAAATGGGTTAACTTTCCACTGCTTTCCTGACTGGAGGCGTAACCATGGAGACCAAGCGTCAGAGATAGAGTCGTCGGCTAGCTTGGATCGCGGCTGTAAGACGACCGAACATAACTTTCCACAGTATTCCAATGTCAATGAGAGTGTGTTCCCTGCATTTTCATTCTGGTAAGTTAAAGATGCACGGTTTTATTTTATAGCCTACTTAGTTTCTTTCCTTCAAAGTTGGGATCTTTTACGGGAAAATAATAAAAACGGCAGCGGGAAAATGCTCAAATACGCCGGAAACCCGGAGGGTTGGCAGTTAACGTTACTAACTACACCTTTGAAACACATAGCAGCTAGTTAAAAGTACATTACATGCGTGAGTGGTTGTTAGCATTAGCGGTTAGCAGTTGCTAAACTAGCAGGTTCCAGAGCCCGTCTGATCACAGCTTACCTTCGTACGGATTACTGTGTTCCCACTGTTTGCTGGCTTTATGATCTGCAGCTCCTGAACCCATCCATTCATGAACTGCACATGAGACTCCAAGGACTTGTAGCTTCTAAACTGTTTTGAAGTATAGGCGCTCACCCATCGGTGCTCCACTCATTGTTTGGAACTTTATATGGATCCAAATGATTAATAATGCTGATTTTGTCACCATACCGGTCCCTGGCTTCTCTATTTAATGTGTTCCGGTAAATTCCAGATCCTTTTCGGGATTTTAACATCTTTTTTCTCTCTACTTCTGTCTCTTCTTTCAACAACAACGTTGTGTCAGAGCTACGCTTACGTTTGCGTAGCAGTCAGTATGGCTGCGACGTCCAACAATGCAACGTGGATCCCGAGCCCTATAGTTTTGTTCGACGTATTGCATTGTAATAAAAAGTTTTGTGGGGTTTTTTTTCTTTGTTTTTTTTTGTTTTGTTTTGTTTTCTGCATGAATCTGAAACATATCATTAGACATGTTCTCTATTTTCCATCAGATGTGGTGGAGTTGTTGCTAAGCCAGCCCAATGTGGAGCTCAACCAACAGGTGAGGGGATTGTTAAACTCATTCTGCCCCTTTAAAGGTCTAATAAAAGCCAGTCTCATTTATCAAAACCTTTCTAGGCTGGAAACCCTACCAATTATAAGCCCTGAATATTAATTTGATACCTTTCACTAGAAAGGTTAACAAACTGTATTTAGACCCGCTCCTCCATTCATTAAGCACATGAATGATAAGAATTCCCATCATTGTCTCTTTGTAAACACTTACAACCAATGACAGTTGTTTTTAGTATTTTTTTTTTCTACAATCCCCATATGCTTTGATGCCCCTCCTTCACGTTATGTAAAGTTCCTAATGTTTTTTCTTTTATCTTAATATTGTTCATTCTTCTACAAGTCAGACCTCATAGAAAACTTGCATCAAAAAAATAACCTAATAGTCCCAGAGAAAGAAATGGTTTGCTATTCATTCAGATTATAGTAATGTTTGCAGGAAGAACTGGGATGCTCTGGAAATTGTTTGGTTAATTACAAATCATAACCAGAGGGACTGTAACCAAAACATCAAATGACATTTTTGTAAGCTAATAAGACCTAGATGAAACTTCGACACAGTTTGGGGAAAACGGAAATGTTATAAAAGCTAAGGTAAGTTAACTGTGTCTCAAATGACAGCAGTAACATTGCTAAAAATTTAACTCTTAATCCATCCAAGGATAAATACAGTAGTGTTATCTATAAAGCACTTTAAAAATAACTGTATGGACCCAAGTGCTGTTAAGCTAAACAGTCAAAGCAACAAAACAGTTGAGGCTCTTAAAGAAATAATAATAGTAAAAGTAATCTCTAGCAGAGTTCAAAGCCAGAGAGGAACGAGTGCATTTGAATGAGCTGATCTTAGTGGAAAGAAAATGTTGTTTTTCTTTGTTATTTTTATTTTATTTTATTACCTGAAATGGAGCGTTAATGCATTTTCTCTAAAGGTAAACACTCTAAGATTTGAATTATCATGCACCTGAAATATTGCTCAACCACAACCAAATTATATTCAACTAATAGAAATAGCCTTTCAATAACACTTTACAACTAACATCAGATGGATAAAGGATGTAAATTTTAGACATGGCTGCAGTTTATCTCTCAGGGAGTTAAGTAGTGTTGTAGATTGTGTCTGCATCAGTGTTTTTAATGATTCCTTTTGTGCATTTTAGAATAAACTTGGAGACACACCACTGCATGCTGCTGCCTGGAAGGGCTACTCTGATATTGTGGAAATGCTGCTTAACAAAAGTGAGTTTCTCCTTTGTTTTAATAGACACTCTTATCAGCTGTATTTGAATGTAGATTGAAACCCAAATCAAATAATTGCAAAGAAACTATCAACAATGATTATGCATTTTAATGTTCTCGGAGTGTAGCTTTCCTCAGCATCAATGTGTTGTTTCTTCAGATGCACGGACAGACATTAGAAACAATGAGAATAAACTGGCTCTGGAGATGGCCACCAACGCCCAGTGTGCTTCACTTCTCAAGAGGAAGCAAGGAAGCAGTAAGTTCTACCAAACAGGCAGCTGACGCACAGAGTGCAGTAGAAGGGCAAGAGAAACCTTGGCCTCGGTTACAACAGCCTGAGAGAATGGAAAACATGATCCAAGCATCAAGCTGAATTAAGATGTTCAAAAAACATTGTTTAAATGTAAGCGATATCATTCTTCAAACTACTGCAGACATTCATACTGATAACTCCCACTAGAGATTAACCTGTTAATGAGGCGTCCTATTATACCTCACACCGCTTAGAATTCTGTAATTAAAAGTGTAAGTTATTGTTACGTCCACGAGGGCACAACATATTTGAGGACACAGACAAAACTGAGGATACAAAATAATTTATTTTTATTCTGTTGTTTAACTCTCTTTTAAAACTCTCTTTTCTGAAGACAGCTGTAGGGATCTTCTGTAGAGAAAAAAGAAGAAAAAAAAAAACAGAATTAAATATCCTCAGCTTCCATGTCCAGGAAAAAAAAAACCCAAAGTATTAACAGAAAGTTGGACCTGGTGAGCCGATCAAAAATAACCAAAGAGAACAGCAGGGGGCCAACCCTATACAGGGCCGTTGAAGCCCCTACTAGTACCGGACTACAGCAAAAATAAACTACTAAAGAGAAATAAAGAATCGAAAACAGGACAACCGGTCTCATCCGGCCTATGAGCGAGCATAAGGGCAGGGCCGCGCTCCCAGATCAAAACCCAGCCTATTTATAGGCGGTCCAACAGCCACTAATTAACCATGCTAAAATATTTACCAAAAACATTAACCAAAACATGCGAAACAAAAATTCATAAAAAAATAATATCAGTATTAAACCATCTATAAAGAAGAATTAACAAAAGCACAAAACAGTTATTCAGAATATTTTTGTTAATATTGCTTTAATTACTTATGAAACAGTTTAAAATGAAACTCTAAAAGTTGATAAATATGCTAGTACAACATAAAAGTACTCAGAAGGCTTTATATATATATATATATATATATATATATAGGTAAGAACAGAAAACAGATATGGTTTTGAAATTATGAGGGAAAAATTAAGCTTTAAGCAGAAATGTTTTCTACCATTCTGATAAAAATTGTATGGGTAGTTTCCAACCCTAAACAAAGCTTAAAAAAAGAAAAAAAAAAACAGCAGAATAACATTTGCATCTCCAGAATTCCTCCTTTATGTTCCCTTAAAATTAAAGGTTGCATTTTCAGAAAAGAAATAGACGGTGTATGTTCACATGGATAAGGCCTTTAATTTCATCCACTTAAAACCTCAGGGGAGCTACAGGCTCATTAATCACTGAAATTTGAGAAGTTCCTTTAAAAGCTTCAGACCTGAACTGTCTTTTTCTCCTGTTCCAGACGTCACCCGCACACACAGCAACGCTGAGGAGTATTTGGACGACGAGGACTCGGACTGAGCCTCAGCTAGACCATCTTCACTGTCTTCCATTGGTTCTCTGGAGGTCGCGGACATTTTTTTGTTCGTGTTTTGTCTTTTTCTGCAATTCTAAAACGGGTTATCTCTATCTGTAACTCCGTTTTAGTTGAAATATTTTCTTACAACACTTCAGCTCTTGGCCCTCCACATATCAGCAGTCTTACTGTTTGCCTACTTTGCTGAGTGCATTTCCCCATATAGGGAGCGCATCACGGTGGGCTGAGAGGCAGTGTTTGAAGTGGAAGAGATGTGACCAAAGCTCTTCAGAGATGCATTTGAAAGCAAACAAATTATGTATTTATAATAGAAATTAAAGTGCCAGTGCAGATTCTGATTTATATGACCTCTTCTTTGTTTCCAAACTCTTCTTTCATTCCTAAACTCCCCTGTAGACCAAAACCTTTAAACTGTTGCAGCTTCTTGCTCCTTTAAACTGTCGAGCATTGGCAAGCCAAAGAAACATGCATTTATATTAAAGGCTTTCCGTTAAATTATATTTTCAACACCTACAGTTGAAATTTACTTATTGATGGGCTTTATTTGGTAGGTTTCAAATATCCTTTATTGGCAATAATCAAACCATACTAGCCTGTTACTTTGCAGGGTTTTTATAACACTTACACTGTTGGTAGTGGCCATTTCTCAGTTGACTGTAACTGAAGGATATATCTGTTGGAGATTTAAGTTTTTCCTTTTTTGATGTTTGATTTCTATTCTTGGAGCAAATTTTCTTAATTATTGCTGCTTTTCTCAGAATTAACAAAGTGCCTTCTAAATATATGATGGAGAATATTTGTGTTTTTGGTTGAGTGTAACTGTAAGCATGTTTTGGTCTGTCTAGGTTGATGTTTCACATTTATATCTTAAAACCACAATAAAGATTGAAACATCCAGTCTATTCTTGTTATTTAAGCACAAATGCAATACTACATGCAGTTGCATTTTTTTGTAGTAAAACTGCAACTTATTGAGAAGGATCTATTGGTAAAAACGGGGGAAAAAAATAAAAGATATAACATTTAAAAATACTTTATTTAAAAGTAATTCCTGATATTCCAGGAAGGAAGAAAGGGCAAATGTATAAATATGTCAGTGAAATACAGCAAGGTCCTGCCATAACTGAAACGCTAAAAAGACTAGATTAAACAAAGGGTTGCTTAGAAACTGTATTTCCTTCAATTTCTTAATACATTTAATCATATTTTTTTGTTTTTAAAGAAAAAGGCCCATCTTTTTAAATTAAAAACTAACACCATATATCAATACAGTCTGCGTTAATCAGCCATTTGCTGTTCTTGATGACCTGGTCTGAAGTAGTTGGAAATGTTTTTCATGTCTTCCAGGGGGTTAAAGACCACATTTGCATTTTCAATCAATATAACAGTTAACTAAATAAAAATTGACATTTGTGAAATATGTCTGCTTTAAATAACCTGTTATAATAGTGTCCTGAAGAGAGTAGCCTGCTCAGCCAAATTGAATTATGCCATGTCTGTCTGGCCAGGCTTTGCAGAAGAAGCAAACTGACTTTTGGAAACAATGAGGTAAAAAGGGCAAACAGCAGCTATGGTTTCTCTGCAACACTGCATGATTTCAACGGGGGTTTCATTGTGATTAACATTACATATATCACAGGTTTTTACTTTTAATATACATGTAAACACTTCCATGAGGCACAGATGCCTCATGGCATAGACGTCAGATATTTATGAGGATAAGGTATAATCTGCCTATACAGGTGCTGGTCATAAAATTAGAATATCATGAAAAAGTAGATTGATTTCAGTAATTCCATTTAAAAAGTGAAACTTGTATATTATATTCATACATTACATACAAACTCATATATTTCAGATGTTTATTTTGTTTAATTTTGATGATTACAAATAACAAATGAAAATCTCAAATTCATCATATCAGAAAATTAGAATATTACTGAAGACCAATAAAAACAAAGGATTTATAGAAATGTTAGCCAACTGAAAAGTATGAACATGAAAAGTATGAGCATGTACAGCACTCAGTATTTAGTTGGGCCTCCTTTGGCCTGTATTACTGCAGCAATGCGGCGTGGCATGGAGTCGATCAGTCTGTGGCACTGCTCAGGTGTTATGATAGCCCAGGTTGCTCTAATAGTGGCTTTTAGCTCTTCTGAATTGTTGGGTCTGGTGTATTGCATCTTCTTCTTCACAATACCCCATAGATTTTCTATGGGGTTAAGGTCAGGAGAGTTTGCTGGCCAATTAAGAACAGGGATACCATGGTCCTTCAACCAGGTACTGGTAGCTTTGGCACTGTGTGCAGGTGCCAAGTCCTGTTGGAAAATGAAATCTGCATCTCCAAAAAGTTGGTCAGCTGCAGGAAGCATGAAGTGCTCTAAAACTTCCTGGTATGTGGCTGCGTTGACCCTGGACCTCAGAAAACACAATGGACCAACACCAGCAGATGACATGGCACCCCAAACCATCACTGACTGTGGAAACTTTACACTGGACTTCAAGCAACGTGGATGAAGTGCCTCTCTTCTTTTCCTCCAGACTCTGGGACCTTGATTTCCAAAGGAAATGCAAAATTTACTTTCATCAGAGAACATGACTTTGGACCACTCACCAGCAGTCCAGTCCTGTTTCTCTTTAGCCCAGGCAAGACGCTTCTGACGCTGTCTGTGGTTCAAGAGTGGCTTGACACAAGGAATGCGACAGCAGAAACCCATGTCTTTCATACGTCTGTGTGTGGTGGTTCTTGAAGCACTCACTCCAGCTGCAGTCCACTCTTTGTGAATCTCCCCCACATTTTTGAAGGGGTTTTGTTTCACAATCCTCTCCAGGGTGCGGTTATCTCTCTTGCTTGTACACTTTTTTCGACCACATCTTTTCCTTCCCTTCGCCTCTCTATTAATGTGCTTGGACACTGAGCTCTGTGAACAGCCAGCCTCTTTAGCGATGACCTTTTGTGTCTTGCCCTCCTTGTGCAAGGTGTCGATGGTCGTCTTTTGGACAACTGTCAAGTCAGCAGTCTTCCCCATGATTGTGTAGCCTATAGAACTAGACTGAAAGACCATTTAAAGGCTTTTGCAGGTGGTTTGAGTTAATTAGCTGATTAGAGTGTGGCACCAGGGGCCATCAATTTTGAACCTTTTCACAATATTCTAATTTTCTGATATGATGAATTTGAGATTTTCATTTGTTGTCATTTGTAATCATCAAAATTAAACAAAATAAACATCTGAAATATATGAGTTTGTATGTAATGTATGAATATAATATACAAGTTTCACCTTTTAAATGGAATTACTGAAATCAATCTACTTTTTCATGATATTCTAATTTTATGACCAGCACCTGTAAACCAAGATCATGTTAATGCATTCTTAAATACTAAAACAACAATCCCAGAATCCTTCATTCCCCTCAAAAAAATGAACACATGATTATTCACTAGCTTAAAAGGCTAAAGTAGTTCAATAAATTGAGCTTTAGCTGCATAAATGTGGGGAAAGGTTTTTAAAGCATATTTATTAAACTGCAAAGATTTTTTTCTTTTCCTCTCTGGTCTAATCTGTGAAACGTCTTTTTTAAAGTCATAGTTCAAAAAATCTGATCTCAGATGCTAATTTATCATGAAAATGTTAGGTTAATGAAATTATCAGAATGGACAGAATCATGTTTTACGTAACGTTACATAGGCCTACTTTAATGAATTTGAATGAAATACTGCCTTTAGGCTACCTTTGCAACCTAAAACATTAATATTCATTTAGGTTTCTTTTATTAATGCTAGTCTTCTCTAGTAATAAAAGCAGTGATTAAATGAAATCCAGCTTTTGTCTTTCTCAGATATCTGGGTTTTGACAGACAGCTGCACCCTAAATGCATCAGGGAGCGTTATCACAGATCCTTTTCTCCCAGCAGCTGTAAAACTATAACCATCACTGTTCCCAACAACCTCAAGAAGTTGTTACATTCATGCTGATTTTGCACAGTTTCTACCTTAGTCGGTTAAATAACTTGCTGCTGTCATTTTGCACATCTATGAGGTTTCTATTTTTAAATACCCATTACTGTAAAAATGTCCATAGCTGTATATTGGTTATTTATTCTCCAGGTGCACATTTTTTTTATATTGTTTAAACACTTTACAGTACAGTATTTTATAACTTTTCACTATTCTGTTATTCTATTACATTTTTCTAAGGTTCACATTTATGTGACAATTTTTCTCTAATCTTTTTCTGCTGTAATCACCATAAATTTCCCTTTGGGACAATAAAGGGATTTTCATTTCTATTTTAAGGCTAAAATAAATGCTCTGAAATCATCTCCAAACTATCTCACAACCAGCTAAAGCTCAACTTTCTTTGAACCACTTTTAGTAAAGCTGGGGAGACCATTAGGTTAACATATGACTGATCTACTGCACCTCCAACTGCAACTCCTACATATGCTCTGAAGAATAAGCTTTCATCAAATTTGAGTAAACTTTGTTTTAAATTTCACAGCATTCAAAGGAAAAAAACACTGAAATCCACTCAAAGATTCCAAAATCAAAAGCTGAAAGAAAGATGATCTTTAGCTAGTGAAGTGCTTGCTTATTTTACAGGTAATTCTGAAATAAAAATCAAAAAGAACATTTTAATTTTTATATTACTTTGTAAAACAACCTGAGAAAAAGGAATCTAGATTGTTAGACCTTCTACAAATGGCCTCTTTTAACAAACAATCCTGTCTTTTGTTATATCACATACCACTTCAGCACAGAAAATGTTTCATAAGGATTTAATTCAGCCCAGTCAACAACAAAAGGTTTATCACAACTTTCAGTTGAAAATAACCAACAAAAAATAGGGGTTAGATAAATATCAGATGACTTAAGTGAAGCACATGGTTAGACTGTGATACTGGCGGACCTTAGTGGGGACATCCGTGGAGCTGAGTACACAATTAAACAATTGCCTTATTGCACATAGCTTGAAAGATCAAGCTTTGACTCTAAAATCCAGATTTCCCTACTTTTTTTTCCCCTTCAAGAACTAGGGTTCTTTGTTTGCTTTCTTAATGTGGCAACCAAAAGATGCAGATTTGCATCAAAGCAGTTCAAATGGATCATCTTCACAGGTAAAAAAAATATTACTTTTTAGACTAAAAAGAGAAATCTAATGATCTCAAAAAGTCTATGCACCTCTGTTAAAAAGCCTGATTGTTATAAAAAAAAAAGGTCAATGATAACATTTATATTGATATACATTCTGTATTTAATTTGAGGGTTATCCTTTACACTTTATTTAAAAAAATAAAAAAAAAATCCACTGTACAGGAACATGGGGGAGAAAACCCACAAATTTCTAAGAGTAAAAATAGTCTGGTTAAACTAGTATGCACATCCACAAACTATTACTTCATTAAAGCATCTTTTGATTCTGATTCACACTTTCCATCCATTACTTTTAATAAAATTAAACTGGACAAAAGTTTTGCAGTACCAAAGAAATTTTCTTTGCGTATGATCACTTGAATTCTTTTGCCTGTCATTAATTACAGAGGATCATCATTTTTTTCTTGTATGGTGGTAAACAAAAAAAAAAAACAACAAAAATCTGAGAAACTGATGGAAAGACGAGACAAATACTGGCCATGGAGGCTGCAGGATTTTCATCATGTGACAATCCTGTTGTATCCATTCAGCCTCCAAGGAAAGGGTTGCAGATTATAGTTATCCTCTTTGTGCCACAGTTCTAAATAAGCAAGACTGGCACGTCAACACAACTTTACCAACATAATGGTGGCAGCATCATGATTTGGGGTTACTTTTCATCACATGGAACTGGAAATTAGGTAAGGTGCAGGAGGGGCTCAAAATCTGTTGATTCACCTGAAGAAAGATGGCTGTGAGCATACTCTTTTGCATTCTCTTTTGCAAAGAGAACCAGTAAAATATTGCTGACCCTTGACCCTCTCCAGGCAGATTTGCAACAGCTAAATCCCACTTAGCAAATTACTCCACATCCATATTTTAAGAGCTTTTGTTACTCAGAAGTACAACTATATGGCACTGCTGACTCACTTTCAACATGGCTGAGTCCTTGGTGTCACTGAAACACCAATTTCATGTAAGTATTGCTACCAATTTCCATTATTTTGAAATCAATACTACATAAAATGAATCATGAATGTGTATAGATATGAAACATGCCCTTTTTTTTTTTCCACCAGAGGCATCTGGATTTCAATGTTGTGGATTCGCAACGTGTGCCCAAACAGGTACCAATAGATGCTACATGCTTTATCTACTAGTTTGCCTATATTTTGAGCAACAGCTTAACAGAAACGGCCTTCTCAAGAGGTTTTGAATTGTCGGTTGAGAAAAAGTTGTCTCTAATTTTGTGAGAGAAATTTTTTTTTTAAATTTTGTTTTAATTTTTTGTTTGTGACATTCAAATAAAGTTAACGTTCATATCAGATTCAGTCTTCAGCGTTAATTTACCATTCCAGGCCACTGTTGCAAATCTGCAACATCCCAGAATTCATTGCATGTCAAGGTCTCTCTATCAAAAAAAAAAGTCTGAATTGTATATTACTACCACATATGATCATTTTCTCCAAATATCAGATTTTTCCTGCAACTACAACTTAATTTGAGCCTGAGAGGGTTAAAGACAGACTCAAATCTAATCAAAATGTGCTTCCACAAAGCATTAAACGGATGTACAAACCTTACCAGGCTAGTGTAGGTTTTCTTTTTTTAATTTAGATACTTGTTCACAAAAAATTGTTCATGTTATCCATGAAACTATAAGGAACTTCGTATTTCTTTGTTTCGTGTTTTTACATCGAAGCTGGACTTCTAGCGCTGTGTGAATAACAGATCTTCAGTAGTTTTAGGTTTTCAGTAGCATCTTCTTCACAAAAAATAAAAAATAGACAAAGGCCGAGGCAACTCTGAATTAAAAAGGCTCTTAGTTGACCACATAAAAAAAAAATCCCCTTTCTTAGCACATGAAGATAGAGCACAACATATTTGAAACCCTCATTCAGATGAAGCAATTTCATGCTTTATTTCAGTAACAACCAATTGTGGCAGAAAAAAAGGTCTCTGCACTTTTAGTGTCAGTTCTGGTAATGAGGTTTTATCATGTCTGGTAAGGCTCACCTTCAGCTAACATGAATGGTCTACAGCAGGCCTTCCAAGAGTCGGTCCTGGAGGGCCGCTGTCCTTCAGGTTTTAGAGATTTATCTGCTTAGCACAGCTGATTCTGATGATTGCAGTTCAGCAAACGCCTGTTAATCAACTATCAATGTAAATTAGCTGTGCTGGAGCAGGGAAACCTCTAAAACCTGCAGGACAGCGGCCCTCGAGGACCGACTTTGGGGATGCCTGGTCTACAGAGTAAAGAAACAGTAAAAACAGCCAGCATACCACTGAATGAACTCAACACCACCAGACCTCTACAGAACGCTAAATTCATCTGGATAACTGCAGCCATACTTTAAGGGGAGGATCTACCCTGCTACCTCCAGGTAGGAGGTACAACGACGGACTGAAAACCTCATTTCTGCTACCCTCAGCTTGGCCAACTCAATGTGAGGATGAACTCAGACTTTTTCCTTTACTGTGGCTCATGTCTGCACAAACACCCCCTAAAATTTTGACCTTTACTCATTAAACGTGATGCAACACACGAGCATTTCTGTCAGCAACGTTACTGATTTACAATAAAAGGCAAAACCTTCCGTGCCTCATGTGGATTAGGATTAACAGAACTTTTTCCAACTAATTATAATTTCAGAAATTGTTTTCTTTAGAATCCCACTGAGCTCATAAAACAAAGGTACATGACACTTTCTTTCACATCACTTTCCCATTCTTCCTTCTCCTACATATTAAAAACAGCAAAGAGGTCTACAGAAAAACTAAACAAATGAGACAATAGCTGTTATATACCTGCAGGCAGAGTGGAAGATCAAAGGTCACATCATAGACAGCTTCTCTAAAATTTAGTCACTATCAAGCTACCAGAAAGATATAAAATCTTGGAATTTTTTTAGTTCAAATAAATAAAACTTTTCAGAGTATAATTAAAGAAAAACAAAAACAGAGGAAATAATCAGGATAAAACACGACATCTTTGAAAACCAGCTAATAAAAATTCCCTCCCAAAAAATAATTTCTTTCACAGATTTCTCTTTTGTTTTAGTAAAAATGAAAATATATTTTTTTATGTTCTTTATAATTGTTTTTTTTTCTTCTAAAATGATAGTACCAACAAATCTGAAATATGTACAGCTGTACAGTAGCTCTTCCAGTATAGGTCAATTACAGGATTTTACAAGTGAAATCATCAAGGCAAAAAATAAAAATAAAATAACAGAACAAAACTGAACATCATTAGACATAAGAGTCTTTACAGATATGAATTTTAAAAAATTCATAATAAACAATAAAAAAGGGATAGAAAGTGAGGGTTGGCTAATGAGACTCTTGGAGATTCGTCTTTTCTTCGATGGCCTGTTTCACAATTTCAGCCAATTTCAAGCGGTCAACCTTATCGGAGAAAGATCGCCCTACAATAAACAAAAAAACAAAAATGAAATGAATGTCAGCAAGAAGGGATTTTCCTGTCACTGCTAGAGAAATCAAAGGAGAAGCATACAGACCATCCCAGCTGAGACCCTGCAGGCCGTCTCTCAGCAGCTTACAGTCTCTGTTGAACCTCCAGGCTTCATGCATCACCTCGTTCAACTTCTCATCCCTGTTTTCTCCTGGCCACAAAGAGGCATTTCGCAAAGTTAGTATCAAATGTAAACTATAATGCATATCTCATAATGAGAGGTTTCAATCATTTGTATCCATCAGCTTCCCTTTAAAGCTACAGTGTGTAATTTTCAGCGACATCTAACGTCCAGACTGCAGACCGCAGCAACATGAACGTCTCCCCCCCACCGCTTCTCCCCCCCAACAGTACGGCGAGCGTTACGGGACAAAATGTCTTCCACGACGTCGGAATCACCTACCTTCTCAAGTGATGAGGTTTGTTTACATACATAATTTTACAGAAAGTATTTCATTTGTCTGTGTAGGGTATAGACTTCATGTAGACTTTAGATAATAAATATACCCGTTATTTTTTCTACGTCGTTGTGACGTTTTGGTGGGCTGCTTTGCATGGTGATATAAACAAACGAAGTAATTGTAGTCATTAGTTTAACAGCGAGATTGTGTTCGCTAGAAGAATCTATATTCCCCGTTTACAGAGTCCAAGTCTTGTTTGTGGCACGGGGGTTACAAGGCGAGGAAGAGGGAGAGGAAGAGGGCGAGGGCGTGCAGCCAGGGCCAGGCGAGAGAGGGGTGCCAGCGGGGTGACTAGAGCAGAGGAGGAAAGGCTTGAAGATCTCCAAAGGAGCCGGAGAGAAGTAACCGAGGTATATATCCAGAAAATTATTTTTCAGAAAATGACTGAATCATTACCTATGAAACGTCAGGGACGTTGCTGAATAAGTATACTGGAGAGTAACAGCATCATCGCGCAGCATGTTATTGTTTTAGACAGGTCTGAGCATCCTGTACTCCAAAAACTGCAGTGATATTAGACAATTGTGTGTGTAGGATTAATTACCTGTCCAACAGAAAACTGGCAACTTGAGCGTCACTTTGAAAACCTTTTTCCCCCATCAGTGACTTCCATCGTGTAAATGCCGTGCCAATGTTGATCCGTGTTTTTTGTCGTTTCTTGTCACGATTGTGTTTATTCTCGTCATGTTTCCGCTTCTTAGATGACGGGGGTTCGGTGTCCGCCGCTTTTCGTTGTGATACAGAGTAGGCATGATCCTCCATTCGTCTGATGTTTGGCCACACAGTGCCAAACAGTTTGCAAAGTCACTCGCGCCTGCCGCCTTTGTTCACCTTTCTTGTTACTGAGGCGCAGTATACCTGCTTCTTCTTCTTCTTTGGTTTCAGGCAGACTAAACGCTTCTCAGGCATAGTACTGCTATCTACTGTTCAGTACCGTCTCAGTTCATCTCTCTCAACTTGCCGTAGTTATTTTCGAGCGTAATGGGAGATCTCGCAATCGCTAGTTTGTTGCCTCTGCGCTTGCCGTAGCGCAAAGATGTCTGCCTCCATGGCTGCGAGAACCGCTCCTATGTAATTATAAATAACGAATTCTAAGGCAACGCAAATATTAAGGTTAAGAGGCTGAGCTCGTAGATGATGATAAATAACATAGTTATGTATAATATATTAAATTTCTGACTTTATATCCCTGTAATTATTACACACTATAGCTTTAAATGTCAGACAGAAAAGGTCTTCCATCACACAGAGCGATGCGTGTTTGAGCGTTTTTAGTTCCTCACCAGCCTGTGGTAGTATACACTGTGCTATGACATCTCTCAGCTTCTCCAGAGCTACGTTGGTGTCTTCCCCGCCGTCCTCTGGGTCGTGAATGAAGAAACTATCAGTGGGCTTGGGACTAAAAGATCAAAAATAAAAGGAAAAGTGAATGTAAAAACAAAATCCCAGTTGGACATGTGGGAATGCTTTACCTTAGAATCTAAATCATCTACTAAATAAATCAGCATTTTATACGTTTAGCTACGTTGCAGTCAGGCTAATCCTCAGCATACCTTAGGTATGTTTGAACATTTGCTAATTCTGCTATGTTGGAGCAGCTAAATTGCATTAAGCTCTTTGTTAAAGGGGAACGCCATTTTTTTTTTACATTGGGCCCTTGATTTTACGATATTACATCATGTTCTACTCAGCCATATTAGTTTTGTGTCATTTGGAGCTGTTCTAAAGATATTCCGTGAGGTTATATCCAAGTAATGTCTTCCTATGGGCAACGACTTGAAGGCACAAACTAAGCTGTTCATAATTTATTCTTTATGGTACGCCAGCATTCATAACATGCAGGCAAATCACTGTCCCCCAGACATCTGCGGTTATATTTTTTATATTTATACATTTTTTTAAAAACAAAGCGGCGCGTGTATGATGTCATCCACGCGTGCCGGCTACCATTCATTCTTCCTGTCCCCTAAACTGCTACTAGTTTTGCTCACATGCCTGGAAGATATCTAGTGCTACCACCACAGATGATCTCTCTCTCCAAATGGAATTGAACGATTCAGATTAGCTAGCCGAATGAATAGAAGAAGTGGAGCGCAGCCGCCTGTGGCCCGGGCTGCCTGTCACAACTCCAGTCCGGCGTGCGGATGACGTCATACACTCTCTGCTTGGTTTTTAAAACCTATAAATATAAAAAATCTAACCGCGGATGTCTGGGGGACAGTGATTCCTACATGTTATGAATGCTGGCGTACCATAAAGAATAAATTATGAACAGTTCAGTTTGTGCCTTCAACTCATTGCCCATAGGAAGACTTTACTTGGATATAACCTAATGGAATATCTTCAGAACAGCTCCAAATGACACAAAACGCATATGGGTGAGTGGAACATGATGTAATAACGTAAAATCAAGTGGCCAATGTAAAAAAAAAAAAACGGTGTTCCCCTTTAATCTATTGGCTGCTGATTTTCCAAGAAGTTTATATGAGCTAAAAATATATAACATTTATATTTACTATACAAATGCCTGTTGACATCTGCTGCGGTTATGATAACCATTTAGGTTTTTACCTTGTGTAGAAGCCATGGCTGAAACACAGGGCTGCACAGCTAACCTAAATGAGTACTCCTCTATCACTGTATTTTACAAATATCTAAACGAGCCAAATCTTTTCAGGCCTTTTGTCTTATTCTCATACCACAATCTAATGTAAACAGTTTGGATTTATTTCTCTTTTTGGTTATTTAGCCACCCAGAATGAAGACGATCGATATGGACACTTTCTTTTTTTCAAGGTGATTTCTAAATTGCATTACCTTGGCCTTTAAAACCACAAAAAAAACTAAATAAAAACTTGAAAGCTAATTTAATTCATGAACTAATTTATGTCTTAAGCAGGTTTCCAGAGGCAGACATGAGCACAGCCCTTTGTTAAATCGCACAAAATACACCAAGTGTTTCACCATTGTTTTATGGTCCAGAATTAAAATACTAAATCATTTTAAAGTTCAATTTAAATATGGGGCCCAGGAACTGAGTCACTTCATCATTACAGCTCAAGTAGTATTCCAGTAGGAACAGGTGTATCAGTACCCCAGCAGTTTCCGCTTTCTGAGGATCGGGTTGTTGACGGAGTTCAGAGGCTTCAGGCTGACGTTCAGATCCTGTATTCTCATGTTGGCGAGCTGTTCTGCGTGAGCCTGCTGGATGCCTGCAACAACCGCCTGGACAGGGAGAGATCAGATCCACAATCAGATTCATTACACCTCAGTGAAAGCCATTTTCTTTTTCATGTGTTCAAAGCGACGTTTAAGGTGACCCTGACAGAGAGAGCTGTGACTGTCCGTTTCCCCCTTTATGTTTCTATCAGTGGACATGGTTGAAGGTGACTTCAGTGACAAAGTCTGTGAAAAAGATTTCTCTGCAAACCTTCTGCTCGGCCACTCTTCTGACAGCAACAGTCTCATCCTCACTTAAAAGACACTGCAAAATAATACCAAGGGTCACTTTTCAACCATAAGTGTTTCACTTCTCTTAGCTCTTGTAACTTTCCAATTACTTTTACCAAAAAAACTGAAATGTGTGACATATATCCGCTTCTAGTCCCCTTTACTTTAAACCCTGCAATAAAATTAAATGCCACTGAAGGCCATCTAAGTAGAAAACAGTGTTCAGCTTTTTGGGCCCAAAGCCTACATGGGGTTGTTGTCCTTTAGCAGGACCGTGGAAGCTGATGAAAAAAAAATGAACAGATGGAGCATAGAGCAATTCTGAAAAGATGTCCACCTTAAAGCGGGAAAACGAAACTTTACCTAAAGCCAAAGATGCAGCCCACAACAACCAATCTGCATGAGCTTGAGATATTTTGAAAAAAGAAATATAAAATAAAACGAAGCTTGATGGAAAAAGGACTGAGCATAAATAATAATACAAAAGCTCAGGTGAAGCCCCCCTTCACACTGATGGCAATAAGAAAGGGTTCGGTTGGAGATCTGGTCGAGAACTGCAGCCTCCAGCTCACCTTGTCCATCATCATCTGTGCAGACGGCAGCACATTATCCAACGCCTCGGTGCAGTTCAGCCAGGGGTGAGCCAAGACTCCCTCAATAGTCAGCCTCTCCTCAGGCTTTACCTTTAGAAGCCTACAGACACACACACACACACACACAAAATAAATTCCACTGCCATTTAATAAATGTATATTTCTTTTAAAAATCCCTTAAAAAAAAATCTAACTCTTACTTGCGTACAATGTCCTTGGCCATCTCAGATATCTGGCTCCACTCGTCTTCTGGGAAATCAAAGCTGCCCGTCATAATCTTCTTCCTCATGTCCTTAGGGATGGTGCGGCTGTGATGCTTTGAGTAGAACGGAGGATAGCCGCACAGCATGATGTAGATGATCACACCCAGCGACCACAAGTCACAGCTCTGCAGAGATAGACCATGAACCCATTTTTTCTTCTGTGCTTTTGTTTTTCACAAGGCAAGAACAAACCACACATCAGCATATTAAATATAAACCATCTCTACGTATCTTTTAAACACAGGGCTGAGAAAATAGAGCCATGTGCCTCACAAAATGTGACTTTATTTCTGAAGATTCGATCAAATTAGATTTCTTAATCAGCCTTTTTATACAGTTTAGTTTTTGTACTATTTATAATATAAAACTTGAAGCAATTATACATTTTTAGAAACGTTCTTCATCAAATAAAGCTTCTTTTAATCAACATTCATACATTAGATTTAAAGCCAGATTTAGACCCTAAAGAAGGCTCACTTTGCCTGAGGTTATGATCTGTATGCCATCAAAGCTCTGAATTAGGTCCTGATATGGTAGAAGCAGGATCCCAAAGAAATGTGAAATATGTTTTTTCTAAAGCATGAAGTCAGCAGTTTTTCCATCACAACTATAAAAACCTAAGTACTAAGTCAGACCTGCAGAGAATCAGCTCTAATCTCATTTTTACCTGAGGAATGCCTGCAGCTGAAGCGAATCTTACCTTGTTATACGTGTAAGGAGTTGGTGAGGTAGGTATAATTCCAGACTTTTCTTTCTGGTGTCTTCTTTGAGCCTCAAGTACCTGAACAGAAGTGATGATCAGTCATACATTCATCAAATAAATGAACTGTAGAAGATAAATGAGAAGTTGTTTAGCTTTTTCCCTTTTTCTACCTGAGGTGCTACGTAGTAAGGGGTAAACTGAGGGGTCGTCAAGTCTCCTTGATCGATTTTGGCAAAGCCAAAGTCACACAGCTTCACAGGTGCGTCCTGTGGGGCAGAGAAAGAAAATAAAACCTTCTGAACCAGAAGCAGCTTTGCATAGAAAGTGCAGTTCATATACAGCAGATCTATGTATCTACTTTAATATTAGAGAATCCACATACATTTTAGCCACTGGAAAGAAAAACAAAAATAACTAACTGAACAACAACTGATGGCAGTTTGGAGTTTCTGAGCTTGTGTGCTTCACAAGTGTTCCCAATTTTGAGGCTGATCTCTAGAGACCTCTCAGACTTTTTCTTATGGAGGGAAAGGCTGATGAACAGATAGACGAGTGATCAGTTTGATAAACAGACAGATGGATGAATGAGCAGATGGACTTAATACAGAAGGACGGACAGACAGACTCTAAACATTTTAGATAACGGTATTTAGAAACACACCTTCTTCCATACATTTTGATTGAATGTAGTGTATGTATTAGGGCTTTGTATCAAACCGAACGTTACGCTGCTCTCGGTTCAAACCACCCCATAACTGAATTGTAGGGAGAAGGATTTGTTTATCATTTCATGAAGTGTTTTTCCATCCCTCTGGACGATGAACTTTGCCCTCCACTTGGAGCAGCGTGCTTGCTATCCTGTTTCTAATAACTTGTGACATTATGGCACATTAGCTTGTAAAGCTAGATGAAGCACTGTCAGAGTCCTGCACAGTTCCAGCTTCACAAACCTGCCCAAACCAGTCAAGATGACCACCGAACCCGATCCGTCTCCTGCAGATATCTTCCATTCAAATCCAGACCCGACGTGTTAAAACATTCAGGTAAGCTGTACCCTGTACCCTTCCTTCATTTGCTCTTCCGTTTTCCTTTATATGTATGTTTTTTTATAGTTTTAATTTATAAAAACAACACATGAATAAACACATGCAGATTTATATTAAGCAGGAACTCGCTCAAAAATTTTTTAAACTGCTTAATAGTACAAATTAATAGATAGCTAAATAAATCACCTATGTCCACACATACACACAAGTTTTTATGTCATTTTCTCCCACAAAACAGCATTTTTTGGTGGGTTTGGGTGAATGATATTTGAATGATATTTGTTCAAGCATTTTTTATTCACGAGTGAACTGCAGTGATGTATATTTTTTTGTGATGAGGAGCTGAAATGAAAGGAGGAGCTGTTTCTGTTAAAAGCTGCTCTTAAAACCCAGATTGATTGATTTTATTGATCTCACAGTGGAGAAATTGACTTGTTACATCAGCTCAAATAGTCGAAGGAGAAGAAGAGGGTGCCAAAAGAAGAAAGGTGTATGGGATATATGCAGTATTGTTTTTTTTTTTTTTGTTTTTTTTTTAAGTAGAATCGTTATCCCAGGTTATATTACAGTGTGTTTACATGGGTATATATATATATATATATATATATATATATATATATATATATATATATATATATATAGTTATTGCACTGGGTGTTAAATATAGAGAAACAGGTTATTGCACAGGGACACACCAAAGGAGCGGCTCAGCTCCTCTACAGACTGGCGCAGAGGTTGGAAGGTGTTGTCCAAGAAGGATGTAAGCTTTGACAGCACCCTCCTCTCAGCCACGTTCTCCAGTGAGTCCAGTGTGCAGCCCAGGACAGTAGGCCTAGATGGTGATATGAAAAATTGTTTTTTGTTTTTAATTTTTCATTGTGTGTCATTGCGTCCTTGGGCAAGAACCTTCATCTGCATTGCCAACTGATGGTGGCACTATCGTACCGCAACCTCGCTCATATAAGTGAGCCCCAGGGCGGCTGTGGCTACAATGTAGTTTGCCACCAACAGTGTTTGCGTGAATGACTGAATGTAGTGTAGACGCTTCAGTCAAGTCTCCTGACAGGAATATATATATATATATATATATATATATATATATATATATATATATATATATATATATATATATATATATATTCAAGTCAGGATATATGAAAATAAAAAAATTTTCTCATTCAAATATGCCACAAAAAAAAACATCTGTGATGCAAAATTTTGTTAAGAAAAACACAAGACTGTTATTGTCTATGCATTTTGTTTTCTTCCATTATCTACTGTACCAAAAGAAAAACGGACCGTGACTGTTGTGTACCGTTACAGCCCTCATATGTACGTATGCTGACTTGACGAATTGACCCAATATAGTAGTTTAATGTCAGACATCCCCAAACACCTTTTGCGGAAATGCAGCTTACCAGAGAGTTATCTTTGAAGAGCAGGTTCTCTGGCTTTAGGTCTCGATGTGCAATATTCAAGGAGTGGCAATGAGCCAACGCTTGGCTGATCTACAGGTGGAAAAAAATTCCACTCAGTTTTCACAGCTTAGCTCTGCTGAAAAGCCCAGAGTTGGTGCTGGTATTAGGACCTTACACACCTGTTTGGTGACTTGACTGGCCATCTTTTCAGTAAAGTGCTTGTGCTGACTGATTCTGTGGAAGAGCTCGCCACCCTCCATCATCTCCATAACGATCAGGAGTCTTGCTCTTTAAATGAAAGAAAGTGATAAAGAGATGAAATAAGCACATAGAGAAGGCCCAGAATGACTTCTACAGGAGAAGTTAATGTTACCTTGGACTGGACTCGTGAGGGAACTGGACAGTGTTGGCGTACACCTCCAGGATTTGCACGATGTTTGGGTGGTTGGCACACATCATGTGAAGACGCACCTTTGTTGGAGAATTAGTCTTTTATATGGTTTTATTTTCCCTCACAAGGGGATAAGAGGAACACCGCTTGGCGTGTGATAGTTATCTGTTACAGTTTAATCACTGGTTATCAAATCCCCGTAGCTTGTTTTCACTTCTTCTCAAAGCTGCTTGATCAAAAACAGTTTGCTGCTAAATGACATGATAAGGCTGCTAGACACACTGTCTGCTGCAGAAAGGCCCTGATAGGAACAAAGAACTTCTTATTAACACAACAAAGCCGAGAAGACTGGGTGGCAGGGAAAGGAAAAACAGGAATTAATTAAGATTGATAACAGGCAGGAGGACAGAACAAAGCATGGTAATACTGGAAAAGACAAAACAAAAAAAAACAACACCAAGGACGGGGGTCGAACCTCATTTCTGGCCTTGGGGCGATCAATGAGGATTTTCAGGGCCAGGCGTTCCTGAGTTGACTTCTTCACACAAACTCTGGACAGGAAGGAGAACAGAAGAGTCAACCAACACGTTGAGCAGAATTACCTAAACGTTTATCACCCACATTGAAACCTGTAGTATCACAGCAGAGCCTCCATAGTTTAAAGAACAAGCCTTTTCCCCTCTCTCAGGGTGTCTTCTGTTTATACCATTGCTACTTAAATGATTCAGATTAACAAAACAATTTTAGCATCAGAATAACTTCATGTTCATTTATAAAGAGGATAATGTGACAAACCTAAAAAAAGATTTACATTTAGCCAAATTGGAGATTTGTAAGGTAACATCATTGCATCCTAGTATTACTCAAGTCTGTACTTCAACTAGGCCACTTTATTGCCTTTCTTGTCAACTTTTCTTTCAGAGTTTGCTTTGCTGCCATGTTTTAGATCATCTTCCAGTTTTCCTGAGCTTAAAGACACAAACTGATTGGAGGGCAATCTATTTTGTCTGAGTGGAGCGCAGAATTTATGTTCACCTCCATAACAAATATGATTCAGATCCTGAATAAGCAAAGCAGCTCCAGACCATTAAACTGCCACCACCGTTTTTGACAGTTTAGATAATGTTCTTTTTGCCCAAATATCTTTGTCTTGATTTTCTACTACTACTTCATGGTGTCAGACATTGCCTCTATGAGTTGGACAATAATCAGACCTGGGCGTGGGTCTACAAAACACACATTATATGCAGAGAAAATTAAAAACAAATGAAACAACCTTAATAGAAAACACGATGTCAATAAAAGTAGTTTACTGTTTAAAATATCACATCATCGTCCAATCCATCATTTCATCTTTCACATCATTGTAGGCAGAATAATTTCCAAAAGGAAAAAATTTGGGAAGCTTAAAATTTCCCTTTTCTATCTTTTGAAAATGAATTTTTTTTTTTTTTTTTTAATGCAAGGTATTAAAGGTATGTTTAAATTTTTTTTCTCCAAAAGACTCAATACTCTTCTAATTTTCAATAGCGGGCCATAGCTTACTATAAACTCTAATGTCTTTTGGTTGTTTTTTTTGTTTTTTAAAATAGGGCTTTAAGTGATAAACAGTAAGGTGGATTGTTGTAATGATTTCTTTTAAAAAAGAATATCATGCATGTCATTCGTGTTCCACCTACTTTCCTCCGATACCCTGAAATAAAATTCTAGTACAGCCATTTGAATCAAAGTCACCTAAGAATGGTCTTTAGTGTAATTTCCCCTCAGTGTAAAAAGCAGCTGTTCGATTAAAGCCTCAGAAGCGTGTTAAGAGAACATTGGAGAACAAACAGACCAGGACAGAAGCTGTGGAGAACCTTAAGGATAATAAAACCCCAGAATTGAGTGGTTCAGGTCCCTCCTGTCTCATGGTAGTTAGGGAGGAGCTCGATATCTATCATGATACTCGGTGCAATGTGTTTTTCTGCATCGAGTGTAGATGCATGGGAAAGGTTTAATGACAAACACGTTTTATTTTTCCAACTGTATAACCAGAGGTTTTCATTTACAGGTAATGAAGTTTCCTCCCTGGTTACAATTACACACAACTCTGTGTTGGCATGTCCCATACAACGGCCTTTGAAACAACACAGAACTTGTGGTTGTAACCTGAACAAAAAGTGACAACAAAACAAATTCACTTTAAACCTCAACCTTTAGCCTCACACTGCCCTCTTTAAGAATTACAACAGGAAACATTCTGCTCCACTTCATCGGCTGGAAAACAGAAACGATGCAGAATGAATCACAGCCTGTTTTTAGTCAGAGATGATGGGGCCATTTCTCAGCTTTCTCATCACTCCATGCTCAGATTACACACTTGTGAAATAACAGCTTTGCTTCTTTTGATCTTGACCTGCAATGGTTTCAAACCTAAGAATGAGCTGAAGGAGTAAATCATTTATGACTCACACCCTTTATAACTACATAGAAGCAGAGGAAGCTAATAAAATGCTTAGGAACCACTCATGTGAAGAAAAGGACTGACTTTTTTTAGTTTAATGATTTAAAAAAAGAATAAAATAGAGGAATAATCCCAATGGGAGATAAATTTAACTCAGAGCATGTGGGCCAAAGGGATTATTTGCACGCTTAAGTATTGTATCAGCTAAAGGTTTGGATTGAAGGAGGAGAGGAGAGGGGAGGACAAAGGACTTACACAACCCCTCCTTTGATGAATCGCCAACTCAAAAGCTAATGAGCTTTTCTTGCCTTTTTGAAAGAACATTAACGTTTATAGCATGATATGAAGCAATACATCCAAGGTGAGGAAAAATACGATACAAACAGTAGTTACGGTGTGGAAAGTTTAGATGTTTTTTTTCTTGTTTTTGGACAGCATACATATTTTTTTTGTCCAGTGAAAAACGTACTTATTGCTTATATAAAGCAGCATCCTTATCATTTGGTTAGAGCAATCAGAAAAATTATTTCCTTAAAAGGTGCCAAGCAGCATGCAACTCTTCCCCTCATCAAACCACAAAGATTTAGATTAGCTATTAAAAGCTCAATTCATATTACAAGCAGCCTGATTATCTGCACATGCAGAGGTTTAATCTCCTAAATAAACTAATATATCTAAATGAAAGCAGTTAAATCACCGGTTACTTTCATAGACTACTGATTAGATCTGTAATTTAAAATATGTCTGAAGCAATTAAACATGACGAATAAAAGCTCACCTCACAGGTCCGCTGATTCCAGCTCCCAATTTCTGCGTCCAGTTGATGATGTACTCATCCAAGATGGAGGCGTCCTGCAAAAAGAACAAGAAAACAAGTCAGAATCTTTATAATAAATATCTTCATGGGATACTCAGCAGTGATGTTGCAATTATAACTCACAGCTTTAGAAAAAAAAAAGTGTGTTACCATATATACAATATAAAAATAAAAGAAATATAAGTTGTAATGAATGTTGTTGAAAAAAACAGCAAAGTAAACAGCTCAACATGTGTTCTTTGATATAGTCCACCGAGTTTGGTAAAAATGAGAAAGATCAGTCAAAAATACTCAGTTTGTTATAGTAAACAAAAGAGGAATAACATGTTATTGGTTAGAATTAAATCCACAATCTCCAACAAGTTAACTTCCCCAAATTTGTGTTCTTGTAATAATCAGTTGTTTCATTTTGTGACGGTTTTTACAAGGTTAATTATTTTAGTTTTATTTTTTTTTTTAACAGGGTATTTGTCACTTTTTAGCGGTGCCAGTCAGGTATCCCTCCTGACAAGTAGGATCAATATATATAGATTTTTAAACCAGTCACACAAGGACCATACACTTTTGCGTGTGTAGACCCTTACAAATAAGGAATGAAAACTTTTCACAAAAAGACAACAAAAAATTAGGCTTAACAGTCCTTGTATTTCAAAAAGAAAAATAAATATATAGCCATCAAAAAATAATCACAAAATTCTTCTCCAAAAATAAATGTCCATTATAATCCAACGGATTAGGGCTCCAATATAGATTGCCCCACAGCAAGAGCTGTGAAATAACAAGAGAAAATAAAAAACATAAGTGTCTATACACAACAAAAGTCCTACAATTGCATAAAAAAACAGCACAAACAAACATACATAGAATGGACTTACAGGTCTGATGAGAAAATAATCTTGCTCAGAGGCAGGCGCTGGAACAGGTTTTCTGTTGTTGGTTTCACTAGATGAATATATTTAAAATTTATTTTATTTTTTGTAATGGGGCAAAATTATTAATTTATATTATCAGTAAGTATAGCACTTACGGAGGACCTTTAACTGTGATGTCACCGGCTTCCGGGTAATTGTGATGACACGTCAGCACGGCAGGAGCACAGAATGAAGTTTCTTTGTTTGTTTGGTTTTCTCCTTTTCCTTAATGATCGGTGGGATCCAGAACAGTGGCAAAATACTGAAAGCACGAGGGATTAAACGGCCTCGGACTGACTTTGTTACTGGTCGATAGAACGGAATATGCAGACGTAGTAGCAGCAGCTGTTTCTGTTACGCTGTCTGCTGAGACACTGACATTTTCAAACTGGAGCTAGGAGTCAGATTGAACAGCGGACCAATCAGGTAAGTGCATGTGTTAAATGGGCGTAAAGAAGGTGTGTCTTGAGCTGTGAAGAAGCAGGAGGGTTTATGAATAACGGTGCAGCCAGCTCTGTGCAACAAGCAGGTTGTCACACACCCCCCCCCCTTGAGAAGTCCCGAGCTAGTAGGGTGAAAAATCCTTTATACGCCTCATTCCTTCAATCTTAGATTTTCTCCAAGCTTGCTGTTTTGTATGCGATCAATGTGTTGACATTCTTATGAGAGAGGTAATTTAAATGCTCAACTCTCTATTAGAAGTTATCTACTTTTATTTAAAAGTCAGAAGAAGTGAAACCATGGAAATCTTCATGGTCGCTTTCCTCATGGAACAGTTCCTGAACTTTTCTGTGTTGCTCTTTTTCCACTTCATCTGCTGTAGGAAAACAAGGTTTGATCTGCGATATATGAACCACGCGGAGATCTTCTCCAGTATCCTCCAGAACCACTTCATAATTTACAGGGCCAGTCCTTTTCATGATTCTGTAAGGACCTTTCCATCGTGGAGCAAGTTTGGCCATAAAAGATTGATCAGCCTTTGATAAAGGGTGTGAACGAATCCATACACGGTCTCTTTCTGAGAAGTTTCCATCTCTTCTTCCACGGTCATAGTTGTGTTTCTGTCGCTGCTTAGCTTTTTTCAGATTGACATCAGCAAATTCACGGAGCTCAGCAATCTGTTTTACTGTAGCATAGACAGGTGTGTCAGGGTCACAAAGGGTTGGACTCAGCTCTGCATCCAAAGGCCCTTTCAGAGGTCGTCCAATGTTGAGTTCAGCTGGAGTCACACCAGTAGATTCATGCACTGCAGAGTTTAAAGCAAACCGAAATTCCGGTAGGTATTTATCCCAACTCTTATGTTTGTTACTGACATAGGATGAGAGCATAGCCTTGATGTTGCGATTAACTCTCTCCGTAAGGTTAGTTTGTGGGTGATATGCAGAGGTTTTCTTTGGTGTGAGATTCCATCTTTTACAGGTCTCCTCGAATACAGAAGAAATAAATTGTGGACCTTGATCAGAGAGAATGTATGTTGGCACTCCCCATCGTGTCAAAATCTCTCTGGTCAAGTATTGGGAAATTATTTCTGCAGTAGCTTTGCGGAGGGGAAACATTTCAACCCACCGTGAGAAATAATCCACAAAAACAAGTAGATGGACATTACCAGTAGAACTCCGTGGAAAGGGTCCCATAAGGTCCACGCCCAACATCTCCCATGGTGCACTCACCTCTGTCTGTTGCAACTTGCCAGGAGCTTTTCGGGTTTCAGGTTTGTACATTTGACAGACTTGACAGGATCTCACATAGTCCCGAACATCAATGCTCATCCTCGGCCAATACACCAAGGCTTGTAACCGTTTGTAGGTTTTGTATCGTCCAAAATGTCCAGATAAAGGGTCATTATGATTGTGATGAAGTAACTGTTGACGGAGTGATGGTGGAATATAGACTTGGTAAAGAGTTTTGTGTGGTAATTGAACAACTCTGTAAACCTTGTCTTCCAGGATAGTGTACTTTATTGTTGGCGACTCATGTACTGTTCCTTTGTCCATTATTTGTTGGTAAATGTTTTGTGCGAAAGGATCCTGCTGCTGAGCCTTCCAGATGTTCTCATCTGTCACTTGGAGTGGGTGAGAAGTGTCACGTTGCGACCGGAGTACGACAGCACAGGTAACTGGTGAATGGTCAGAGGCATTGATTGGGGCTCGTGACAGAGCATCTGGAACAGTGTTATACTTTCCTTTTCGATATTCCACTGTGAAGGAGAATTCTTGCAGACGAAGAGCCCACCGGATCAGCCGAGTGCTAGGTTTATGAGTTTTAAAAACCCAGATCAGAGGTGAATGGTCAGTCACAACGGTGAAGTGTCGTCCTTCAAGGTAATATCTCCACTTTTCAATGGCCCAAACAACAGCAAGACATTCTTGCTCAGTAGTAGAGTAGTTCCTTTCAGCTTTATTTTGAGTTCGGCTGGCAAAGGCCAGGACTTGCTCGGTGCCTAACCCAGTCTGCTGAGCTAGAACGGCTCCCAAACCCACATCACTAGCATCAGTATAAACAATGAATGGCAGTTTGAAATCTGGATGACCCAGAATGGGTGGAGAGACCAGGTGAGTTTTCAGAGCATCAAATGATTTTTGGCAAGATGGTGTCCAAAGGAATTTGACTCCTTTTCGCTTTAGAGCATTGAGTGGTTCTGTCAAGGCAGAAAAATCAGGCACAAAACGATGATACCAGCCAGCCATTCCCAGAAATCTTTGAAGCTGTTTAATATTCTGGGGTACAGGAAATTCTTGAATGGCTTTAATCTTGTCTGGATCTACCTCAACACCAGATGAGGATACTATGTGTCCCAGAAATTTTATGGAGGAACGGAAAAACTGGCTTTTCTTCATGTTGACTGTAAGGTTGGCTTCACGAAGTTTGTCCAACACGGCTTGTATATCGGCACTGTGCTGATGGTAAGTGGTTGAGTAAATGATGATGTCATCCAAATATACAAAACAAATTTTACCTCTGAGTTCACCCAATACTACTTCCATAAGTCGTTGAAATGTAGCTGGAGCATTTTTCAGGCCAAATGGCATAACCTTAAATTGGAAGAGGCCATATGGACAGACAAATGCAGTTTTTTCACAGCTTTCTGGATCCATGCGGACTTGCCAGTAACCACTGTTCAAGTCTAGTGTAGTGAAAATCACTGCTCCAGAAAGAGACTCCAGGATTTCCTGAATGTTTGGCAATGGATATGCATCTGTATGTGTGACTGCATTTAGTTTTCTGAAGTCGACACAAAAACGTAGTTTGGGGTCATTTTTTTTAGGCACCAAGACAACAGGAGCGGCGTATGGAGATGTGGATGGTTCAATGATGTCATTCTCCAGCATTTCATCTACATGCTCCCTAATCATCTGAAGTTTAGCAGGTGAGACTCGATATGGTTTTTGTTTAATTGGCACATCTTGAGAAAGGTAAATCTTGTGAGTAAGTACATTCGTGCAGCCCAACTCTGTGGTACATACATCAGAATTGTTACGCAGTTGGCATAACAATGACTGTTTCCCAAAGTCATCCAGGTGTGTAGTGTGAACTGCCCTCTGCAACAGTTCATCATTGGTCCCAAGGGCAACCAGAGTAGCAGGAGCCACTGCAGAGAAAAAGGCAAGTTGCTGATGGGGTTCATTTGGCCAACATGCAAACTCTTGAAGAAAGTTGTAATGTTGTTTTCTGTTGAACTTGAACCAATAACGTTTTTCTGACACATCAAACTGCAGGCCAGAGAGGGAGATGAAATCAAGACCAAGGACAGCAGGAAAAGTGAGGTTTTGAGCAGATAGAATAACGCATGGTAAGGTGATTGACTGTTTTTGCAATGTGATAGTGATTTCGCTCCATCCCAGGGGATGCCGTCCTTCACCATCAGCCAAATATAATGGTCCTCTCGTCCAAGGCTTTATCACTCCATTGATTTCATTCCATACTCTCTCATTCATCAGAGTATAAGAAGAACCTGTGTCCAAGATAGCAGCTCCTTTCCAGGAACTGACGGTGATGGGAACCATCAACTGAGAAGGCAGAGGTTTAGTTGTTGATGTGGCTGGAGAACAGGTTTGGTCCAGAAGTTGAGAGTTTGTGAGGGAACCAAGAGTCGCTGAACTTTGAGCTGATGGGAGTTGGGATGAACTGCTACTTGGCTGAGGGAGGTTTGGAGAAAATGATCGATTGTTACCACCATGGGGGCAAGTTGCTGGAGGATGATTTCCTTTACAACGCCAGCAGAATGGTTGGTGTGGCCGATTGTTATTTCGGTTGTAATTTGGTTGTCTTTGCCTTACTGTGTTTTCATTGTCATGAGGTTTAGGTTCATTTATTTTAGATGGTAAACTTGCTTGTTTCCGGTACTCATACTGTTGCTGATGTTCTCGATCCTTCTCTAGCTGTTGTCCCAGGCGGACAAGTTCATCCACAGTAGTTAGCCTACTACTCCTTAGCTGACTGGCCAGTGTTGGATTTATGTTTTTCAGAAGCAGCTTGACAATTTCTTCCTCTGAAATTTGTGGTTTCCAGCGTCTGCATAGGGATTGGTACATGTACACAAAATCTCTGATGCTTTCATTCTCTCCTTGGACTCTGGTCCTTACACGTTCTGCAAGCTCATCCTCATAATCTTCAGAAAGAAAAGCAGCCTGGAACTGTCTTCGGAAGTCAGTCCAGGTATGCACCTTGTGTCTGGCTACGTCCCACCAATCTCAGGCTGTGCCATGCAACACATTCCGTAGGGTAGCCATGAGTTCCTCATCAGTTAAGGAATGAAGGGCCAAATAATCCTCACAGCGTTCCAGATACTGCAGAGGGTCGGGGGTGTCTTCTAATTTTCCATAAGTTGGAAATAACAATTTAACAGGACTTTTCCCCAGGTCTCGACTTCTATTAAGTAAAAAGGTAGCGCCACCTGGTGCTACTTGGACACCTGTCATCCCAGGCTGAGCAGTAGATTCCCACCGGGGTTTGCTGGTAAGTGATGTTGTTTCTGGTAGGCTATGGTAGATTGTCTGTGCAGTTTGATCCATTTCTGTATTCTGTTGACAGGTTTGAGCTGGTTTGATTCCGGCTCTAATGTCCTCAGTCATAGTCTTTATGGATAGTTGCAAAGACATGAGCTCTCCCTTTAGGCGAGAAACATCATCTTGCAAAGTGGAAATGCTGGTTGTAACCGGGACAAGTAGCTTGCTGAATTCCTTTAGCAGCTCAGTTTGTTGATGCTTCAATCTCCAGCCAAGGGTTGCTTTTGTTTGTGTGAGTAAATACTCAAACTGTGAGTCCATGCGTTCATATTGTTGCTTTGCATTGACTTGAATGATTTCCTCCACATGTTTTATTGTTGAATCTCTCATATTGCTCATCTCCTTTTTAAAACAGGACTTTACTTCCTCCATGGTTGCTTTTAGGTCCAGAACTTCTGGTGCAGCCTTTGTCTCTGCTTGAACCTGCGGAGGAGGCTGTGGTGATAAAGGAGAACCCAACACCAAATCCAGACCAGTCAACTCCATGTCTAGGAGAGAGTATGCTGTGGAGCGATTAGGAGGCATTATCATTGGAGGGGATGAAGTGTTTGAAGGGGGCTCGATTATATTTTCTTCAGTGCTCATTTTTTATTTTTTTGTTATATTTTTATTTCTCTATATATTTTTATTATTTTTTTTTATTATTTATTATTTTTTTTATATATATATATATTTTTTTTTTTTTATTTGTCTAAGTGCTCAAAATGTCATTCCCTTATTTGTGAAATAAAGATGTCCCATGTTAGGTGCCAATATTTTATGTGACGGTTTTTACAAGGTTAATTATTTTAGTTTTATTTTTTTTTTTAACAGGGTATTTGTCACTTTTTAGTGGTGCCAGTCAGGTATCCCTCCTGACAAGTAGGATCAATATATATAGATTTTTAAACCAGTCACACAAGGACCATACACTTTTGCGTGTGTAGACCCTTACAAATAAGGAATGAAAACTTTTCACAAAAAGACAACAAAAAATTAGGCTTAACAGTCCTTGTATTTCAAAAAGAAAAATAAATATATAGCCATCAAAAAATAATCACAAAATTCTTCTCCAAAAATAAATGTCCATTATAATCCAACGGATTAGGGCTCCAATATAGATTGCCCCACAGCAAGAGCTGTGAAATAACAAGAGAAAATAAAAAACATAAGTGTCTATACACAACAAAAGTCCTACAATTGCATAAAAAAACAGCACAAACAAACATACATAGAATGGACTTACAGGTCTGATGAGAAAATAATCTTGCTCAGAGGCAGGCGCTGGAACAGGTTTTCTGTTGTTGGTTTCACTAGATGAATATATTTAAAAATTATTTTATTTTTTGTAATGGGGCAAAATTATTAATTTATATTATCAGTAAGTATAGCACTTACGGAGGACCTTTAACTGTGATGTCACCGGCTTCCGGGTAATTGTGATGACACGTCAGCACGGCAGGAGCACAGAATGAAGTTTCTTTGTTTGTTTGGTTTTCTCCTTTTCCTTAATGATCGGTGGGATCCAGAACAGTGGCAAAATACTGAAAGCACGAGGGATTAAACGGCCTCGGACTGACTTTGTTACTGGTCGATAGAACGGAATATGCAGACGTAGTAGCAGCAGCTGTTTCTGTTACGCTGTCTGCTGAGACACTGACATTTTCAAACTGGAGCTAGGAGTCAGATTGAACAGCGGACCAATCAGGTAAGTGCATGTGTTAAATGGGCGTAAAGAAGGTGTGTCTTGAACTGTGAAGAAGCAGGAGGGTTTATGAATAACGGTGCAGCCAGCTCTGTGCAACAAGCAGGTTGTCACAATTTCACCACTTAAAAGACATTTAAAACAAATTTTTTTAGAAAAAAATAGCAACAAAGGATATCAGGATCAGCACACCAGACCTGAAATCAAATTGAAAAACTGCATCAGCTTGTAAAACCTTGGATTGGTGCACCCATACACTTATTATTTAGCTCAGGACTACAAAGATTGTATTAATCATTTCTCAATACTTTTACAAGTCACTTTTCAAATTCAAGGAGACAAATATTATGCAGTATAAGTTCCTGACATTCCTAATGAGAGTCCTGTGCATTTTTTCCTTTCCGCTAGGTTGCTGTATCATAGTTAAACATACTTTATCGTTTGACCAGTGTTATCCTAAACACAAACCGTTCGTGGACAATGACAACTTAGCTGCCAAACACACATGCATCAGAAAGATTAGCCACTGCTGCCAACACAAAGGATTAGGGCGGTGTTCCACAGGAACCAGGGAAACTGAGGAAATAACCCAAGTTCTGCACAGAAATGCTATTTAAACAATCCCAAACACAACATAATACAGTCATATATGATTTTTTTTTTCATATCTTCCAGAGAATTCATCAATCTGGTAACTATCATATTTGTGACTCATTTAACCCTGCTGTGAGTGAAAACAACCACTGTATCCAGTCTGTTTTAAAAAGAAATGCAAACAGCAATCAGCTGATGGGGAAACTCCTGATTTTCTGCTTTGTTTTTTTGCTTCAAAGCTAAAAATAAATACAACCATTTTCCTTAATCTGATCAGTTAAAGCTCCAAAGGTTAGTGCTGTTAGGCTCTGAGTATAAACACCCTCCACTTTTTTTTTTTGCATTGATGTTGTTATAGATGGAAAACTGTATGTTCTCTTTTATTTAGGCTATGAAACAGAGAGAGAGCAAGGATAACAGCAGATAACAAGAAGGCTGAGCTTTTAACCATAGTCTGTTAAGGAACATGATGCTTTTGAAGGTTGGAAAAGGGATATTTTTAATAGTTTCTCAGATAAATAAAGGGTGACACTATTCAGTTCTATTATTTTCATAAAACAATATGTTTAAAGTGGTGTTTGTTTGTTTTTCTATAGTAAAAACGCCATCTAAACCAGCCTCAGTCAGTGGTTTAGAGTTAAACATCTTCTCTAGTTGATAAATTACCACCATGCCCTTTTTCAGTGCTTGGGTAAATGTGCAACAACTCAGGTAAACACCAAGAATCTGCTGTTTCTCAACTTTTACTGCTGGATCAGATGCCTGGACAGAGAAAAACTGGGGGGAGGAGCAGCCCTCAGGAGTTAGATGGAGAGTGTTTACATTTCTACTTTTAGTGTATTAAACAGTTTAGTATTGTATTTTCTATTGTATAGTCGTTGCAGTAATTTAAAAATCATAGATGATCAAAAACATTATGAATGACTGTATCTGAGCAAACAGCAGCTGACACTGATCACCTCCTTACCTTGATGAACTTTTCTGCATTGTGATCCTCCGTCATGATGCGCAGCTTCTGAAAGTCTCAGAAAGTTGGAAATAGGTCGCTTTTACTCTGATCCCTTCGCAAAGTCTCGGTTTTTCGCTGGATCGAACCGAGGCTACTTATATCACCACCGATAACAAGATAAGCCCATCACAGCAAAACGTCATCCGGCCACCGATCAGCCGTAGCCGAGTGCGGTCCGCTGTGAGACCCGAAGCCCGATCAGGCCAGCTCGGCTCGCAGCCTCGAGGTCCGACTCGCTCTTCCGCTTGTCCCGATCCCTGTGTAGTGACCATGTAGAGCGTCAAACTCTGAGCAAGGTCACCAGAAAAAATAAAGCCAAAGACGGAAGTCAAACGTGGACCGAAGCCCACCAGTTTCACCAGTTATTTTTAGCCACTAAGACTGGCTCAGTAACGGTTAGCTCTGAAGCTAACATCAGCCGTCTTCTCGATGCTGTCACAGTCCGACCAATTGATTACCAAACCACAGGCACTGAGATGGATATGACTGATAGATTAAAACAAATACTGATTATAAGAACGTATGGAGTGGTGGTACGACATACAGTGAGCACATCGCGTTCCCAACGAGTTATGTCGACAACATAAGTTAGCTATGTAGCACTGGTTAAAGACACGAATGATATTATTCTTTGTAAGAGCAGCAGAGGGACATTAGAAGCAAAAGGGGTCCAGTGAGTTCGACGAATGAGGTCAACCGGTTCTCTTTCCAGCGTTGGTCCAGACCGTCTCTGGACTATTTTGTTAATTCCATAACCCTTAAACGGCACCACTTAATAGGAGTCCTCCTAGAACGCCTGATGAAAAGGAATATCAAGTATTTTGGTTGTTTTTTGATTTTGAAAAAAAAAGAAGAACGAAAACAGAATTTTGGGGTTTATAGTCAACGAATTCTACCATCGCATAAAATTATATTTTTTTGCGAGTTAAGTTTTAAAATAACCTACTGATTTTTTTGGAGGCATGTACGAGGGCCCCTTCTCAAAGACCCACATTTCAGTGCGCATTCAAATTTTCTTTTAAGGGTTAATTAAATATTTATCATAGTTTGAACCGTATTTATTTGAACAAGAGGCCACAGCAACGTTATATTAAACCCAATATAATTTAAAATTGATATATTGCTTGAAACATAATGAATAGTTTCTTCCAAAATCTTTAATTTATTTGGATTTCACATTGAGTTTATGTGACAGACTAAAGTTAGTTGAATGACAGTGAAATGTGAGGAAAGGGGATATTCATCCTTTTATTTATTTATTTATTTTTTACGCACTACAATACATTTTTTATACATAAAAAACTAATTAGCAGGGATACTAACCGGTATGCTTTTTTTTTCTCTCTCATTAAATTAGGGGTACAAACTATCCTGTCCATGTTGTATCTAGTATCCCTCATCAAACCCACAATATGAGGATGCCCTTTTTATGGCGGGAAGAGGAACTTTGAACATCAGTTTAGTTGACTTTATTGGGGAATTTAAGGCAGACCTTTTTTGTGTTAAACAGTTTTTTTTTATTGAGGAATCATACATGAAAATTGAAACATTAACAATGCACATTTGTCCTTTTTTTATGTGAACAAAAAACATAAAGACAATACAAAATCAAAACCAAACGAAAGTGACATAAATTAACAAGAACATTCTCAACCCCCACCCTCTCTCCCTTTCAGGCAAACCTTTTTTTAACCAAATTTTTAAAAGAAACATAAACTCTTTCGTGAATAGCTGTACATAACATGATTTCTTTTCTCTTCCCAAGTTAATCTGCAGTAGGTATACTTTATGCAGTTTTTGTTAGCATGTCATATAATTTCTTTTTAATCACTTTTGCATTAATTGTACCGGTGCTTTAAGAAGTTTATAACAGAAACAGTAAGATACTGTTTAAAACTATGTATATCTTATATATATATCATATATATATATATATATATATATATATATATATATATATATATATATATATATATTAATGTGTCTAGCTTATGCAATTTCAATGCATTATGCCTTCAGTTATTATGGTTCATTTATTTGATAGCTCCTATTACAATTTAAAGATAAATATATTACATTAATGATTAAGATCTGCAGAATGGAGCAATAAATTAGAAGAATTGTTTAATTTCTTTTATCAACTGTAAGTAACATCTCCTCACATTTATGGCCACCCTATATTAAAAAGGACACTATAAAATCAGTCTCATGTAAAGCTGAACTAATCGCTGTCACTCATATTTCTTGTAAATAATGAATTGTTATGCTCAGATTACATTGCATGTGAATTAATTTCACTAATGTTTTATATTATCAGTGAAATACAGTGCAAGATGAGTTTTTAAAGGATGGATTATTTTGGCAGATGAAACGTAATTGGAGGGCAAAGTTAAATTTAATCGGGTTTACCCACAATTTTTTAAAATGGCTTGAGTGGTTTAGACACATTCAGTAGAAATTATGGCTAGACCTGTAGAATAAAGAACATCAATCAACGCAACAATCTCTACAGGAAAGGTACACACTATGTACTGATTAAAAAAAAAAAATCAAGAATAAAGTAAAAAATGAAGTCACTAATACTGATCAGTCTGTAAATTGTTACCAAGCAATTTTCAAGATTTTCAGACAAGAACCTCATGAGAGTCTCACTATTAAAAAACTGAGGATTCATATAACAGTGTAGAAGGTTTCTGCCAAAATTAGTGCAAGAGTACCTTAATGACTCATCCAGCGGGTCACGAAAAAATCCACAACAAAATCTAAAGCAAATCTCTTGCCTCAGTTAAGATATGTGTTAAGAATTCAACAGTTTAGAACAGACTGAAGGAAGGGATCCGGTAGAGCCGACGTGCTGCACGACCCCAAAAATTTGCCATAACTGATGGAAACATGAATTCTTCTCTTCAGTAGGAAATCCCTTGAAGACAAACTCTGATCTTAATTTTGTGAATTTAAGCTAATATTTCACATGCTTATAGGTCATAAAGCAGGACAGTGAACACACAAGCAAGTTTAAATCCAATGACTGATAGAGAAGGAAGGATTTGTATTGGCCAAGTAAAGTCATGAAAAAAAAAAGATTTAGATCATGTGTAGTTCCTCTTTTGTCTCTATAGATCTCTTATTTTATTTTTTGCATGAATTTGACTGTGTAGAAGAAAATTGAATTTTATTCTGTTGGGTTTTGTATATTGGGTTTAATTCAAGTTGGTAATATGTTCCTTTCATTCTTCATTAAAAATAGAGTTTCCTGGGGGTGCACCAAATTCCTGGCGGTGCACATCACAGACACCCTCACCTGGAATGTAAACACCACCTCACTGATCAAAAGGGCACAAAAGCGCATATACTTACTGCGGAGGATGAGGAGAGCCCACCTGCCCCCACCCATCCTCACCACCTTCTAAAGAAGCACCATAGAGAGCGTTCTGACCAGAGAGTGGTAAGAACAGCAGAGAAGACATTCCATCCCAGCGCTGCGTGTCCCAAGCCCGTAACATCATAAATGACCCCTCACACCCCTACCATTGACTGTTCTCCCTGCCGCCCTCTGGGAAGAGGCTTCAAAGCATCTGATGCAGGTCCAACAGATTCCATAACAGTTTCTTCCCCATTGCCATTAGACTGTTGAATGTTGTGTAAAGTGGGTTATTTTATTTATAAAAAAATAAAATAAAAAATTTTAGAACTGTAAATATACCGTTATGTGTTTATATTACTATTTTTTATGTATTTATTACTCTTTTCAAGGCTGCACATTAAAAAATGAAATTGTCCAGAGCTATTTAAACAAAATGTATTTTTCTTTACACTCATTTATACAAAATTACCAAATAAATCTGTCTAAGTCTAAAGGGATACACAGATACTCAGAAATGCTTAGTAGCTGTATTTGAATACAGTATTAATGTAGTATGGAATTAATACTAAAGTGTTGTTTGCATTTCTGTGCTATTGTTTAATTTAGATTTTTTATTTAGATTTCTGGATTATTTTCACATCAAAAAAATAAAACCTCTGAAAACCTTATATTGTAAAATTTTGTTATATTTTTGCTTGTTTTTTTTTTCATTTATTTGCACACTTAGTTAAATATCATCTGTGAATCTGTTGAGAAAGCATGCTCAATCTTGGGATTGAAAAAGGGTTGTTTTTTTTAAGTCAATAAAAAAAAAATCATGCCTTTAATTATATTTTCTTCAGTTTTAAATGTTAGTTTCACAACCCTAGTCATAAAGTTGATAAATGATGCCTACATGTCTCTGGTAATTTCATTAAGTGAATAAACCTACTAGCTGTGGGTAGTTGTTCAGTAGTGGCCAAGTAGTACCTGACAGCTGTTCATGCTGTTTATACATCTGGGTTTTGTGCGTTCGTTCGCCGGCTCACGTGGATGCAGCTAAGCAGCCATTTAAGAAAACACGGACTTCCTGAAAATAGTCCCCAGAATGTCTCTAAAATCTTCTGAAAATGTATTATTTATAGCCATATATTGGCTATATATATTCAATTTAAACATGTTTTTAGCTTTATAATAAAAAAGCAGTTCTAGAAGTGCGTGCATAATGAGTTGAATGTTAGGAGTCGTTGCACCTTCCATATATCCCTCCGCTGGTTTTTGTCCCCTTTCAGACTGTTTTGGTCTTTTTGCTGTTAGCAACACGGAAAGGAACCGAGCTAGCTGTAAACTCCAATTTGAAATAATCGATTTTTTTTTTGTTAGGATTTCACATCACATTGACAAGAGGTGTGACGGATGTGTAATTTGGAATGATCCATTGAAGTGTGTCGTTTTAGAAAAAAAAATTGTCCTCTGTTTTAATAAGATTTGTTGAAATTGCTAATTTGGCTAGACACTGTTAACTAGCTAGCCACGTTAGCGAGCTGTCACATAACCGCACGCTGCCGCATTGTTAAGAAGTTTCTGGCCTTCAACTGATTTTTTTTTTTAAGACGTCGACTTTTATGGGATCACCATGTCAATGAAGGCCGGTGGAAATCGAGGCAAGCCCGGTGGGGGCAACGCGGCTGGTGCGGCCGCCTCGGGTGCTGGAGGAAGCGGCGGGGGAAGACAGAATTTGGGCAGGTCTGTATGAGATCTAAAGTGGAGGTAAAAAAAACGCATTGAATAGCGGTGGTTTTGTCGGCATTTCGTACTACGGACACAAATACGTCCCGCAGCGGTAGTTTGAAGAGATGACACTCGTGGTAAGTGGTCCAAAATTAGTACGCGTGTTAAGAACGCTATGCGGGCCGCGAGGCGTTCTGCAGCTTTGCTAGCTAGGCCTGTCTACCAGCACTGGTCAGTAATGTTGCAACTTCAGGATAACGTTTCACCCGAAGCCCGTTAAATAAGAAATGTCATGACCATTTATTACACATTTTAGCCATATCTGGACGAACACAACCACGAACCACATCCTTTCCCATGTGTGTAATGACGGGGTCCGTAAAGTTGCTGATATCAGTTACTGTATCAACCAGGTATTAATTAGCCACCTGACAGCTCGTGGTTTTGTAATTCAGGACACTTGCGTTTTTTTTATTATTATTTTTGTAATATAGCTGACTCCTACGTTACCGCAACATCACTGCAACATTGACACTAAACTGAAATAAAGGGGGGGGAAGGAGTGTGTGTGTGTGTGGGGGGGTGTCATTATGCTGACCGGCTGTCAACCTTGGCGTGGCTTTTCGTGGGAAATTAGTGTCCTTGAAGCATGACTTTCTGTCCACGTGTTGTTCTGTGACGAGGCTTACATACAACCCCTT